GCTCCAGGTTGAGCTGTTGTTCAGCATCTTAGCTGTGGAGGGCAGAGTCACTGGCCCTCATATGTGGGATCCAAACCGGGGCCCTCTGGCGTCCCAAGCCAGCTTTTAACCATCGTGGCACTCGGCCGGCCCCTTCTTTATCCCTTTTAAAGTGATACCAAGAAACTTACGATTCCAAGAAGACAGACTATCACTTCCATAGTCTATATATTCATCTTTTTGTTAATGCAAGCTAGGATTTCAGCTGTTCTGGAGGCTGTATCACATTAATTCATACTGAGCTGTTATCTAACCCCCTGTAACACTTTCTCATATTTTAGTAGGTCAGAGCACTTTCTTCTCTTCCACTCCTACTTCAATTGTCATTAATTTTGGGGTCCTATTAAATACCACTGTTTTACATTGAGTCTCTTTCTCCCACCTACTTTTCACATATCATTACAAAAGCAATAGTTTATCAACTACTACTACACTGATATGTTAAAATGAGTACATATAAATATAATGTTTTAAACTAACATTTGTCTTTAGGTTTAACCCAACTTACCAATCGTACATTCTCTGCAAAATGTTTTAAGTTTCATCAGGAAAGTTTCTTTACAGCTATGCAGACAAGATCTGATCATTCTATTTCTATACACAATGGAGGCACTTTAAAAATATATAATAATTCTCTAAATATGTAAAAGTTAAAATATTGCTAAAAGCCTCATAACTCCTAAAGAAAAGAAAAAGGGCTATGCAGAAGTTTGTTTCAACAGAGCAATGTCAATACTATCAGATGGTATAATGAGTAGTCCCTGGCATGCACTAAGCACAACATACAGTGTTAATTCCTTCCTAAAGCAGTGGCTATCGAGCTTTGGCATGCTTTAGCACCATCGGGAGGGCTTGCTGAGACACAAATTGCTGAGTCCTATTCCCAGGATTTCAACATTTAGTAGGTCTGGGGTGGAGCCCAAGAATTTTTATTTCTAAGTTTCAGATGGTGCTGATACACCTGGTCTGGAGATAATACCATCATTCTAACAAAAGATATAAAGTGCAGCTTAACCGATCTCCAAATTGAACAATAAGCAATGATTCATTCTTTTTCATTGAATGCATATTGAGAAACTATGGAATAGCAATGCATATATGCCATTTGAAATCTCAGATGCCAGAAGATAAACCACATTGAAATTAAGTAGATTATTTTGTATATCCTGGAGGGAATGCTAATAGGAAAATACTTTCCAAAGTACTACTTGGGAAAACTGCTGGAAAGTTATTCAAGTTTCAGTTTATAAATTAATAGCATTAATAATAACAACTGCTAACATTTACGTACACTTTTTTAAATGCATGCTATTCTGAGTGCCTCTCTCTCTCTCTCTCTCTCTCTCTCTCTCTCTCTCTCTCTCTCTCTCTCTCTCTCTCTCTCTCTCTCTCTCTCTCTCTCTCTCTCTCTCTCTCCATTCATCTAATTCCACAGTAGCCCTTAGCGGTAAATAGGTACTGTTATTATCTCCATTGTAACGATGAGGAAACTAGCGTACAGAAAAGTCAAGTAGCTATTCCAAGATCAGCCAGTAAACAGCACAGCCTGGATTCGAATTCAGACGTTCTGGTCACAGAACCTGTGCTCTAAACAAAACCATATGTTTTATATTTTTACTATTTTGATAGACACATATAAATTATGGAGAAAACTGCAATGAATTTAAGGTCAGTAACACAATTATCCTATATTATGTTATGTACACTTCTATTATGATACATATTTATCACACTGTAGCAGTTAGATATTTAGATATCTGTGATATGTTGTATTAATAATCACATGATATTCGGTTCTACAATTTAATCAATCTTTAGGAAGATACTGTACCCTAAAACTGAAGGAATAATTTGTAGTAAGTAAGAACACTCAAAAAACCTTCTTGGGGAGGTCCACGAGTATATTTTGTTAACTGCATTCATCAAACCTAGTCTGTATGTACACAGCCAGAAAATTAGCCCCACCTTGTGGATCACGATAGTACTACAAATTCAGGCAATTCACAAGAGAATTGTCAGAAAAGTATATATTATCTTGGCTGACAAAAACTAAAACTGATAATAACAAGCACTGGTAAGGAAACAGTTCCATATTGTCAGTAAAACCTTTTCTAAAAATAATTTGCAAAAGCAATAAAAATTGTGAACATAAGTAACATTCTATTCAAAATTTCACTTCTAGATATTAAAAAAATATTTTTCAATTACAGTTGACATACAATATATTAGTTTCAGGAGTACAACCTAGGTATTAAACATTTATATAATTTAAGAAGTGATCACCCGATAAATCTAGTACGCATCGGAAACCACAGTTATTACAATATTTTTTACTATATTCCCTATGCTGTACTTTACATCCCTGTAACTTTTTTTTTTTTTTTTAAGCTGAGCCATCCTGCCACCTGTTGGCAGCTCAGCGGCTGCTCAGCTAGGGCTGGGAATCGAAACACTGTTGCTCAGAGCTCAAACTCTTAAGCTAGCTCTTTACCAACTGAGCCACTCTGCCGGCCCCCTGTAACTATTTTTATAACTGGAAATTTGTACATCTTATTTAATCATTAGAAACATACAAGTTAACAAACATATAGGTAACAAGATTATTTACTACAGCACTGTTCTTGGTAGTGAAAAATCAGAAACAACCTAAATGTCAATGTGGACACAGCAAATACTACTTAACAACAATAACAACAATGATGGCAGCTAATAACTGTTGAAAGTGCTTAATATGTGCCAGGCACCATTCTTAGTCTGGCTTTAAGGCCTTGACCACTATGCTATATATTTTAAAATAAAGTATACATCCTCATATGGAATAACATACATTATATACAATTAAATGAAGAGACTCAAACTAAGAGAAACTATTATATATATATTTCAAACATAAATGCTTGCAGATGTATAGATAAAAGGCTAAACAGCAAACTGTAAACAATGATTACCTCTGAAGACCGGGATGAGTGTGAGAAGAAAGAAAAGGACTTTTTACATTACACATTTTTGTACTGCTTAATTTTTTACATTAAGTACATGCCAGATTGATTATAAAAACCACACAATTTAAAAAGTGAATTATTCGGAGTCTTCAAAAGTTAATAAATTAAAATTTTTAAAAAGCAGGAAAGGGTAACCTACATGCTGAGGCTAATCGCATGGTTAATGAGAGCACATAAGAATAGTCACTTGAGGTAAAACACACACACACACAAAATGAAGTACATTTAAGGTGATTAAAACTCTTTAGAAATTCTGGGTGAGTGAAGTTTATAACTGGTAACTTCTTGACAAAGATCTCAGGTTACACATACACATCTAATCTAATTCCAATTCCAATCACCCATGCTACCCACTCAAACTCCACTAAAACTCTAGTAAGAAGAACTTTTAAAGGTGAAACTCCCAGCAAAGTGGAATATAGCAAAGGAAACAAAAGTAATAATGTTTTTGAAGCTGGAAGCAGATGCACAAGTGGTACAAAACCTGAACCTAAGCCAGCATTATTGGGTAAAGCTGAGAACCAACCCAACTTTAAAAGGCTCAGGAATTTTGCATAGAAGACTGATCACTTATTTTGTACTTCTTCCCCATGAATGGCTTTGTCATATCTTAAAATAATAACACTGTTCTCTCTAGAATTTAATGTAAAATAGTGAAAGTAAGTAAGGGCTTGATTGGAGTTAAGTGGACCAAAAAACATTTACTTAGGGCTGGCAGAGTGGCTTGTTGGTTAAGAGTTGGCTTGGGAGTGTGAGCTCTGAGCAGCAGGGCCACTGGTTCAGATCCCACATGGGCCAGTGATGCTGCGCCCTTTACAGCTAAGAACAACAGCTCGACCTGGAGCTGGGCTGCCATGAGTCGCCAGCTGCAGTGGACTGCTGTAAGCTACCGTGAGTGGCTGGCAGCCAGCGAGAGGTGCCGTGAGCCCCCGTGAGTGGCCGTGCAGTGGCCGGCGACTGATCTGCCTCTCCCGGGAAGAGTGCAATGATGGTGCCAGCTTGGGCCAGTGAAGCAACGTCCTCCACAACTAGACTGAAGAACAAAACGACAGCAACTTGTCTACTCCCCGTCCCCTAATTCGCCAGCACTGTTCCCATCACCCCAATTCCCCAATAAAAATTTTTTTTAAAAAAATTGCTTTGCCAAATACATTCTTATTATATAATCATTTTAAGTTATTTCAAGTTTTTAGTCAGCTTAAATAATTTAGTATTAATTGTAACATTTAGTATTATAACACTTCAGTATTTTAGTCAAGTTAGTGATAGCATAAAGAATTAAATAGTAAATCCCAGGTAAATAGTCCCTGAGGACAAAATTAATACTGTATCAATATTATGTAACTGTTAATATACATGATAAAAATACCAGAAAAATTACCTTGGTGTTCTTCTAAATCCATGTCAAGTTGCCTAATTTCTTCATTAAATTGATTTATTTTTTCTTTTATATCTGTCAACCTGTTGAAAATATTTAACAAATTTATGATAGATAAAATAGGTATTCAGTGAAAGCATTTAATGATGATGTTAAGAAATCTTGTCTTTTCTAAGCTACATAAACAATATCTAGAAATAACATGCCCTATTCTGAGGATACTACAAAAAATTTAGAGAGAAAACTATTTTCTAGATCTTTTTTCATAATTAACATTTCGAGAGCATGCATATTCTGAGAATGTTAGGTTGACTGACTTCAAGAGCAGACTTTCCCAGTTTTCTTTTGAGCTTGACTTACAACATTAAAAAAGTGAGAAATCTTTAGAAAATTTTAGAAAAGTCTTTCTTTCTGTAGGTTTGTATAAACTGAACTAAGTTGGTAAATCAGTATCAAAAATTAGAAAATTCTGGGCCGGCTGAGTGGCATGTTGGTTAACAGCTGGCCTGGGACGCCAAAGGGTCCCTAGTTCGGATCCCACATATGAGGGCCAGTGACACTGCCCTCTACATCTAAGATGCTGAACAATAGCTCAACCTGGAGCTGGGCTGCTGAGTCACCGGCAACGGCGTAGGCTGCAGCCCCTGTGGCAGTGGGTTGCCATGGGCTACTGTGTGTAGCCAGCAGCTAGTATGAGCGGCCAGCAGCCCCCGTGAGTGGCCGTCCAGAAGCTGGTGACTGATCTGCCTCACCCAGGAAGAGCGCAATGATGGTGCCAGTTTGGGCCAGTGAAGCAACGTCCTCCACAACTAGACTGAAGAACAAAAGGACAGCAACTTGTGTGTTCCCCTCCCCCCAATTCACCAGCGCTGTTCCCATCTCCCAATTCCGCAATAAAAAATCTTAAAAAAAAAAAAATTAGAAAATTTACCACTGATAGAAGATTATATGGGTTAACATTCTAGGAAGAAGCAGTTGTACTTATTACAAAGATACAGTAATCAAGACAGTGTGTCACTGGAATAAGGATAGATACATACAGCAATGGAACAAAATTGTGAGTCCAGAAAAAAGGCCCTGTATCTACATACAATTGATTTTTGACCAAGGTGCAAGACAACTCAATGGAAAAAGAATATTAAATAATATTTGTTGAAAGAATATTTCAACAAACGGTGTTGGGACAACTTGATATACACAAGTAAAATAATATAACTGGACTCCTACCTTATACCATATACAAAAGTTAACTCAAAATGGATCATAGATCTAAATGTAATAGCTAAACTAAAATTCTTAGAATAAAACATAGGCATAAATCTCTGTGACTCTGGATTAGGCACTGGTTTTTTAGATATTAATACCAAAAGCAAAAGCAACAAAAGAATAAATAGATAAAATGACATCATCAAAATTTAAAACTTTTGTGCTTCAAAGGACACCATTAAGACAGTGAAAAGATGACCCACAGATTGCAAATCATTTATCTGTTAAGAAACTCATATCCAGAATACATGAAGAACTCTTATAATTCAATAATAAAAAGATAAACAACCCAATCAAAAAATGGACAAAGCATCTGAACAGACATTTCTCCAAAGATTACATATGGTCAATAAAAATAAGAGAAGCTACTCAATATCATTTGTCATCATGGAAATGAAAATCAAAACCATGAGATATCACTTCACACCCACTCGGATGACCCACTATAATGAAAAAAGATATAGTAACAAGTGTTGGTGAAAACATGGAGAAACAACTCTTATAAGCTGCAGGTAGAAATATAAAATAGTGCAGCTGCTTTGAAAAATTGTCTGGCAATTCCTCAAAAAGTTAAATATAGAGATACTATATAAGCCATCAATATATATATATATATCCAAGAGAAGTGACAACATATTTCCACACAAAAACTTATACATGAATTTCATGCCAGTATGACCCATCATAGCCAAAAAATGGAAACAATCTAAATGTCCATCAATGAATAAACAGATAAATATGATATATCCACATAATGGAATATTAGTTAGCAATGAAAAGAAATGAAATACTGATACATGCTTCAACACACATGAACTTTGAAAACATTATGCTAAGTGAAAGACTCTAGCCACATATGACCACATGTTATATGATCCCTTTGGCATGAAATGTCCAGGATAGACCAACCTACAGAGACATAAAACAAAAGTGGTTATCTAGGGCTGGGACAGGGGATGAAAGGGGTGATGGTTAAAAGGTGAGGGGTCTAAGGGTGTGTGTGTGTGTGTGTGTGTGTGTGTGTGTGTGACTGAACTGTCCTAAAATTTACTGAGGTGATGGTTGCACAACTCTGTGAATACACTATAAACCTCTGAATTGTACACTTTCAATATGTGAATTGTATGGTATGTAGTTGAAAATAAGATCGAATGCGGCACGCATATTATCAATGTGAACCACTGAAAAATATGCACCTCTTGCATATTTAGAATGAGAAATGAATGTGAAATGTCCTAATATAAATGTACTTACTGTCGTTCCATGCTGGCTATTTCCTGATTATCTTCTTTAACCTATAAAGGCATAAAAAGAAATAGTATTGAAGAATTACTCATTGTTAGGCTATCTTAAAGAGAAATTCCTTGAAGATATGTTGTATAAAAATGTCAAATCTCTTCTCTGTCTTGAAACTCCTTGAAATCCAACCTTTAAGTTAAAAGAAACATAATTAAGAAACTATTCACAAATTTTTCTTTCTTCCTCAAAGGAAGGATGGTAACTGATATTTCCATACCAATCCACCTGGCACAATGAGGTTAACACATCTTAAGGCCTGAAATCAGTTTACATAAACATCTAGGATTTCGGGGCTGGCCAAGTGGTGCATTGGTTAAGAGCTGGCTTGGGATGCCAGAGGGCCCCGGTTCAGATCCCACATAAGAGGTCCAGTGACACTGCCCTCTACAGCTAAGATGCTGAACAACAGCTCAACCTGGAGCTGGGCTGCCGTGAGTCGCCGGCAACGGCATAGGCTGCAGCCCCTGCTGCAGTGGGTTGCCATGGGCTACCGTGTGTAGCCATCAGCCAGCGTGAGCGGCCAGCAGCCACCGTGAGCAGCTGTCCAGAAGCTGGCGACTGATCTGCCTCGCCAGGGAAGAGTACAATGATGGTGCCAACTTGGGCCAGTGAAGCAACGTCCTCCACAACTAGACTGAAGAACAAAAGGACAGCAACTTGTCTGTTCCCCTACCCCCAATTCCCCAGTGCTGTTCCCATCCCCCAATTCCCCAATTAAAAAAAAAAAACAAAACATCTAGGATTTCTGAGATGGTCTCTACCCTGTGCCCCTACCCCCAACACACAAGGTAGAGCTGACAGATTTAGCAATCCTGTTGCATCTGAATTTCAGATAAACAATAAATAACTTTTAAGGTATGTATAGAACATGGAATATTTGAAATAGACTTACCCTTATTTCATACACTTATTCTAAAAGATAATTCTTTGTTTATCTTAAATTTAACTACGTAGTCATTCTGTATGTATCTGGCAATCCTATCCTAAGATCAGTCCTCCCCTGCCTCCAATGATCTATTTCCAAGGAACTTCAGAGATTCTAGATTTTAATACCTTTCTGGAATGATCCTAATACTTAAATAACTCATGACTTGATCCCTAATGTTCTTCTAAACACACTGGGTTCAACCTAAGACCACAAAGGAATCTAATTTGTATGCTCCTGGCTAAAGCTGTTCCCAAATATACCTATATGCAGTTCTCCTAAGGGCCCTATAGTAATCAGGTCTCAGGATAAATAATAGGCTAATTATAACTTAGTACTAAATTAAAGCCAGCCTTGGGGTTGCAAGAAAGCTACTGAATGAATACATACGACGTGACCTTGTGACATATTGTGATTTCATAGGACATTTTAATTTAATTCACTTCATGAAAGCACTGAAAATAACAACCACAAAAAAATCATTAGTCTTGGGGCACTTCATTTTCTAAATACAAAGCCCCAAACAAATAATGGAACAGATCTTTAATAAGATTATTTAATTATATACTGACCAATAAAGAGGAGTTTCAAGTTTTCTTTATAAGACTCTAAAACATGAAAAAATGGCCAAAATATGCACGAAGACCATGTAAAATTAGGATTTAAGTAAAAAAAGCTTTGCATGAGAAATGGCTTTTACCAAGATTTTCTTGATCAAGTAGTTCATATTAATTTAGGTGAAGCTCACTTTTCACTGTTTTGTTTTGTTTTTTAAAGATTTTTTTATTGGGAAATTGGGGGAGGGGAACAGCGTTGAGGAATTGGGGAAGGGGAACAGACAAGCTGTTGTCCTTTTGTTCTTCAGTCTAGTTGTGGAGGACGTCGCTTCACTGGCCCATGTTGGTATCATCATTGCGCTCTTCCCGGGTGAGGCAGATCGGTCGCCAGCCACTGGACGGCCGCTCACTCGGGCTGCCGGCTGCTCATGCCAGCTGCCAGCCATTCATGGCAGTTATGGCAGCCCTGAAGCTTCACTGCAACCTATGCTGTCGCCAGTGACTCACGGCAGCCCAGCTCCAGGTCGACCTGTTATTCACCATTTTAGTTGTAGAGGGCACAGCATCACTGGCCCTCATGTGCGATCCGAAATGGGGCCTTGCTGCTCAGAGCTGGTGTCCCAAGCCAACTCCTAACCAATGCGCCACTCGGCCAGCCCACTTTTCACTGTTTTTAAGACAATAAACTTACTGGCTTTCTGCTCTATTCATATGCCTTAAATACAATAAATCAACACTTGTACCAAATCCTGACAAATTAAAATAAGTATGTTTGTGTTTGTTTTTGCTACCTGTTTAAGCAATCGCTCTCTCTCTTCCATTGGAGAGCCCATACTTTTATCTTCTGCAGTCATTTGATCCCGATGGGACTCCAACTCATAAAGCTTTTCATACAGCAATACAGCCTCCTGCTTTACCTGGGAGGGTGCTATTTCCTGAAGGAAACAACAACAAAATTTTATTATTTTATCAAAAATTATTTTCAAATAAGAATATTTTAAAATATATATTTTCAAAAAAATATTCATAAGAATAAGAACCAATTTAAACCACCAGCATCTTTAAATAGAGATGTCAAATATCTACAGTATTCAATAATGCCACAAAGCACATTTCTAAACCGGAAGAATAAAAATAAATTCCCGTATACCTTCATAAGCTATTTTCAGCCTAAGAGTCACAAGAAGATGGTAGCCTTATTTTATTTTCTAAATATAACACCTGAAAAAAGATAAGGACATCCCTACCAATCGGAAGATAATAAAGGGTCAAAATGTATGTACAACTTAAACCACAATATCCAATTCAAAGACCAAAGAACTGATCTCTAGAGGGAAAATATTTTTCCCTGAAAAGGTCATATATATCATATATATATATATATAATATAAAATACTTCCCCACAATGTTATCAGTTGAATTGTATTACCCAAAAAGATATACTGAAGTCCTAATCTCCAGTATTTGTGAATGTGATCTAGTTTGGAAATGGGATTTTTGCAGATTTAGTCAAGTTAAGATGGGGTCATTTGGCAGGACCTTCATCCAGTATTATTAGTGTCTTTATAGGAAGAAGATATAGGCAGAGACACATAAGGTAAATTCCATGTGATGACACAGGCCGAGTTTGGAGGGACGCAGCTATAAGTCAAGGCATGAACACCAAGGACTGACAGCCACCACCAGAAGCTAGCAGGCAAGGATTGTGCCCAGAGTCTCAGAGGGAGCATGGCTCTGCTAACACCTTGATTTTAGACTTCTAGCCTCCAGAACTGTGAGAAAATTTCTGCTGTTTTAAACCACCCAGCAGCACTAGGAAACTAACAGACACAAGTAGAATAGTTGCTGTGTATTCACTACTGTTCTGCTGTTCACAAAGAGAAAATAAGGGATGTAATAATTTTATTAGATGACCAAAATAGCTAGAGGTGGTGTTGTTGTCAATGGTGGTAGTGGTCATGGTAAGGATGACGAAGAAAATGACATCTGAAGCTGTTTATTGAACATTTGTTCTCTCTGTGCCAGGAACTGTACTCCATTGTTCTTTACACACTATCGCTAATACTCAAAACAACTCTATAAGATAGCACTACCATATCTGTTTTACAGAATTTTTCTAAGTTAACAAAAATAAAAGTTAACAATGGAACCATAAACAAGATCAGATTTTTAAGAGGGAAGACCACCTTTTTTATTGGAAAGCAACAGAGAAGAAATCTTTAAAAAAAAAAAAAGTGAACAAGAGGAAATGTTTAAAAGTCCATAGGAAAAGGATTATATATACCGCTTGAGTAACAGATTAGCTGCAGGTGAAAAGGCATGGACATAAAGTCTAGATAGAAGAAATGCAGCTATTTTGAGGTATCCCTTTTCATAATATCTTCCCCTTCCTTTTGCCTAACCATCCTACAGATTTGTTCAAATTGCATATGATAAAACTGTTCCTGAAGACTCAAGCTCATGTTGCTTCTTTATCTGATTTTTCAAACTCCTGTGAACTGAGTAATACTTAGCACAGTAGTTAGCAAATATAGATATTCAATAAATACTAGCTGATTGATATTTGACATAATGTTTTCTAGAAGAACAAGTCAAAAAAATACAAGGAATCTGGAAAAAGTTAAATAGAATTAGTGACTTAACATTTTCTTGGTTTGAGAATCCTGTAAATTTTTTTTTTAATTCCTGTGATTTCAGGCATACAGGTACTGATGTCAAAGAAGAGTGGCATCAGTACAAGCACTAAATCTAAGATTATAGCTTACACCTTGTCCTGTGGAAACCAAATGTGCCAAGAGAAATTGACTCTCTTCCACACGCCCTAAAGAAATATTGAGGAATTGTGCAAGCTGGCTGTGTTAATACTACATATTGTCCTATTCCTTGAAGCATCTTTCTATTACCAGAGAGATCTAAGAAAATAAAAATTTTGTGTACCCATATATGGACCATCTGATATAAAAAAAATGCAAATAGGGCCAGCAGAGTGGCTCAGTTGGTTAAGAGCTCGCTCAAGAGTGCGAGCTCTGAGCAACAGCAGTTCGATGCCGGGCCCCAGCTGAGCTGCCTCTGAACTGCCACTGAACTGCCAACGGGTGGCAGGATGACTCAGCTAAAAAAAAAAAAAAAGAGCAAATATTTTTAAGCAAACTATTTTTTATAGCAAATTTCCAAAGAATGATTACAAAATACTCATGTTTACTTCTATTGCAAGCTAGGTAACAGCAATCTTGTCAATCTACAATGTTACTAATCTTATTATCATCATATCTGCCTGAATCCATAGAATATCAGGAAAGGCAGGGAAGTTTGAGGTACAGACAGTATATTAAAGTGGAAAGGACATGAAAAGGTAGTTCACAGAAACAGAAATACATTGGTCAAAAGTATATATAAAGAGATACTCAACTTCATGCATAAATAAATGGAAATTAAAACAAGATAGTAATTTTTACCCATTCAACTAGTGAAAATAGAAAAGGTGGATAATGCTTGCTGTCAATCAATGAGTGCAGGTAAAAACAGGCACTCTTATATGTTGGGGATAGGAGTAGAAAATGGAACAATCTTTTTGGAAGGCAATTTGGTAATCTCACAACATTTAAAAGTGTATAATTATTGACCCACTACAAGAAATTTATCTTGATATACTGCTATAACTTAGCATAAAATATACATCTTCAATGCAGCATTATTTATACCAAAAAACTATAAACAATCTACCCACAGACTTATAACACATAAGTCTGTGTTATAGTCATACAGTGTAATACAATGCAGTGATTTAAAAATAATGAGGGAGCTCTTTAAGAACTGATGTGAATAGACATTCAAGAGAGAACGTTAGATGAGAAAAAAAGCTGCAGACAGCATATCCAATGCCACTTGAGGTTTTTCCACAACAGTAAAACCAAGTTCAGATTATAGGACTGTTAATGAAGATTAAATGACAATGCTGGTGATCTATGTCAAGAAATCAAAAAAGCAGCTAGTAAGAACTCAATAAAACTAAGAGTAGTTCTGTCTGGAAAAAGGGAAAAAAACAGGAATTTTTACTTTCATCTTAAATTTTTGTTTTACCATAAAGATGGTCTGTTTGTGAATTAAAGTTGCTTTAAATAAACAAATAAGAAAAAAAACACAAGCTTTTACATCTTTAGTGATGAACTGATCTCTCTTTCTCTTCATTTTTTTTAGTCTCTTGTTCATGTGTTTAAATTGCCACTAGGTTCTGTGTGCCCAAGCATACTGAATGATTTGTTTTGTACACAGCAGGTCCCTCAATAATTGAATCTTAATTTCTTACCGAACTAGGATATTTATGGTCCTGAATAGGAAAAAATATATATTATACTCCTGTAAGTAAACTGCTAAATAAATATGTACTTAAATGAGTTCCATAAATATATTTAGCTGAATTATCTTTTGTAGCTGAGTAATATAGGAATCCTTATTTGATTTTATACTTACGGCTTCCAGACTCTCTTTTTTTATGTTCAGTAAATCTAGTTGCTGCTGCAGTGTATCTAACTCCTAAAAGAAGAGAAAAAAAGCAAATACCCATGCAAGTTACATTAAGAATAAGTTTGTTTCTCTATCAACATTTCAAATGTGGATATAATAAAGTAAATTTTGTAAATATCTTCAATGAGTATCTTGTGATTTTACTAGAATTTATTAACTGTCATTATTTCTATTTTTGCCAATTTCTTTCATTATCCCTAAAACCTTTTCCATGATCCACCTTTAAAAATACTTTATAAGGGGTGGCCAGTTAGCTCAGTTGGTTAGAGTGCAGTGCTCATAACACCAAGATTGCCTGTTCAATCCTCACATGGGCCACTGAGCTGCACCCTCCACAACTAGACTGAGACAACTACCTGACTTGGAGCTGATGGGTCCTGGAAAAACACACTGCTTCCCAATTAAAAAAAAAAAAAGCTTTATAAGCCAGACCTTTCACAGTGAATCATCATATCACTTTAATCATCATATTGAATATCAGAGCCCTTCAAATTAGTGATGTCATTAAAGTTATTTTCAATTTTGTTGTTAACCATGTTTTCATATTTTTGGCTTAATTCCTTTTTTAAAATTATTAATTTTTAAATTTTATTTTATTGTAGTAAGAACACTTAACATGTACCTAATTTCTTTCAGGGTCAAGATCTATATGGCAATTTACATGGCTCACTCCTGGATAAGACCCTTGAATTGAATCCTGTGTAGGATTAAATATATTTTGATAGCATTATGGCATTTCTGTAATATTCTTTCTTCAATGTTTCATTGTATCTTATAAATCCTGTCTACTGTATAAGTTATATTAAACTGTCATTGAAGGACTATCTGACAAACTAGAACTACTTTCATTATTGGTGTTTGTGGGGACTAATTCTCTGTCACTGGTTAAAGGACACCTGGGCATGAAACAACACGAGCTTGCAAAGCTGAGTCTTCACCGCAATTGAATGTTGGGAGAACCTTGTGAAGTGAAGACTGATCAGCAGCAGGTCTAGTCAAGCTCTCAGTGGATGCCGATGCTGCCCATATTTTTGGTAGCAAGATGGCTATGTGCCTGGTACAAAGTAGTGATGAGTATTACCTGCAACAATTTCTCATTTGTGGTTTTCATTTCTATGTACTTCACTTGTTTTTCAGGAGGCATATTTTTGATAATGTCATCTGCTGCTTGTTTTTCCTGTTCAATGTCTTCTTCTACACTTCTAATTTGTTTTTCCTTCCTGAAATCAAAATTATGCAATATTATTTATCATATTGAGGGGGAAAAAATCAGTTCATTTTACTCAGGTTCTAATCTCAATTAAATAGGGTACTTAAATGTATTCAACCATAGTTCATGATCTAAAAGTCCTTTTAGATGTACAGAAAATTTTATTGGACATGTACAAAATTTGGCCCCATCAGCATAGGCTTATTTTGCGTCTTTCTCTTCGCAACCCCTAAATGCTTCTATTTCCTTACTTTCCATTTTACTTTGCTTTCTTATATGAAAACAGATGGATTATCATGGAAAATCATTAAAGCCTTCTACATATGAGGGTGCATTTACATTGTTTGTTATCATACCCTCAAGACAAGAAAGTTAAATTTTAGAATAAGGGTTTTCAAACATTTTTTAGCTACAGGATTCTTTAACCAAATGAAATCTTATATGGAGGTTTACTATGTAAATCAGATAAAGTAACACAGTTCTGACAGAACTGGGAGTAGAGAGACCGATAGTGGAATTTAGAAAATTCAAAACTTTGCGTTAATGTTTTGTTTAAATTATCTTTTATCTACTGCTTTAATTAAAATAGGTATTCCACAAATTATCAACTATATTTTAGCACTGCAAAATAATGTAAATTTACCTAAAAAGAAAACAGTATAATCATATAAAGCAGTAAAATTAATTACAAACAATAATTATCATATAACGACAAGAAATACCAGTGATGTGACACTTATTATTTATGCAAAGCCAATTATCAAGACAGAAAAATTCTGAAAAAAATAAAGAGGTAAGATGCTAGTTATCATGTAAATACTTCAAGATATACATATAAAAAGTTTTCTTGAAGATAAATTTCAGTTCCAATATCATAAATTTCTATTTTAAGTTTCAAAATATGATTATCCTACTATTTAATCTCTTTCACACATAGATACTAATTTCTACAGTTTTCCCAATCACGAACTAAGCCCAACAGACCCACATGATCACCCCACACTCTTTATGCACTCATACTCTATTAGAATAAGATAATCCAAACTCAGAAATTTGCCAAATATCCTCTCCCATTCTGTTGGTTGCCTTTTGTTTTGTTGATGGTTTCTTTTGCTGTGCAGAAGCTTTTAAGTTTGATATAGTCCCATTCATTTATTTTTGCTTTTATTTCCCTTGCCTTTGAGGTCAAATTCACAACATCCTCACAAAAACCAAGGTCCATAACTTTAGCACCTACGTTTTCTTCTACGTGTTGGAGATTTCACTTTGGGTGAACACACAATGCAATATACAGATGATGTATTATAGAACTGTATACTTGAAACCTATATAATTTTATTAACCAATATGACCCCAATAAATTTAAAAATAAATAAAAATAAACAGAAATTTTCCTAAAAACATATCATAATAACCAAATAAATGATGAACATAATGACACAGACAACCTGGAATTTATATTTATTTTTGTCTCACATTTGGACAGGGAGTGATGCCTACACTTTAAACCTCAATACTATAGTATAACAAATGTGTTTGCTGCTGCTACAATTTACATGGGTGTACGGGCTCACAGAACTTTCAAGCAGAAAAGCTCATCTATTTCAATCTTTTTATTTCATAGATTAAGGATACTGAGTCCCAAAGGAGTTAACTTTTTGGAACTCATTCTGAACTACATGACTACTCAATACCAATAATGAATTTTAACCATGTTTTTGCCTGTGTCTACTGCAGTTAAATAGCAACTAATGTTGTACATATTGCATTTTACAAGGGGAAGTTACAGCAAAAGGAAGGTAACTGATTTTCTGAAGGCCACATAATGGCCAAGTGTCAAGTGTTTTAATGTTTTGAGCACTTTGATCCTGCTATAACTTGGCAGTAAAACCAGCAATGATGGTATCATAAAAATGAGTCAACAACAAAGTTGAAACTCAGTGGAATACCAAACTTGGTGGTATCTTTTTGACTTCAATCTTTCTAAATAAAAAATACCTCTAGGACTAACACTTAAATCACTTTAGCTATATTTCTTTAAAAGTATGAATTCTCAAAATTATATACTTTAACTCACAAAGTAAATTGGTTAATATTTAAATTTGTTAAGAGTAATTAATCACAAAGGTTTCACAAGCCACCTTACTTGTTTAAGAAATCAAAGATGACTTTAAGAAATTATTCTTCTAGTCAATCTTTTGCTAAGGAAGTCTAGCCTTTGTTGTCTTTTTTTTTTAATCACCTCTTCATTGGGTACAAAGGTTAAAATGAAGTGAAATGCAATCATATGACATACTTTTCTTTTTAATGGCGTAGAAGAAACAGAATAGATTCTTTAGCACACCAGTCTCAGAGACAAAAGAAAAAACGTAAAGGTAAGAATCTTATATATTTACAGGTTTGGTGTTGTTCCTGAACTTTTTTAAGAAATCAATTTGTTAAGTCTGTACAAAAATCTTCGCCTTTAACAACTGAAGAAAGAGCTTTCAGTCTACTTTAGAAATATTAACCTGAGATTGGCCAAGAAAACCCTTCCCAAATAAAGTTATAATATAAGAAAAATTAATTATTTTTCTTTTTCAAAAAAGGTTTCATCTATCCAAATTTATAAGATCTTTTTATTTTGAAATATGTTAATCTCAGAGCATTCGCAAGTGACTTTAACTTAAAAACAAATTTGTAAGATGAAAAAGACTGGCCATCAGTTGATAATTGTTGAAATTGGGTGATAACTATTCTCCTTACTTAGAGGTTTTTTTCTTGAAAACTTCCATTATGAAAGTTTTTAAATCTGTAAAAAAAAAATCTATAAAATGGTTGATTACAAGAGTGAAGTTAATTGTGAATTAACATCTTACTCCAAATACACTGAATTCTGGCATAAATATCTAAAATATTTAATGGCAAAATTATATATACATTTAACAAAACTTAAATAATTACATCATCTTTTTATTCTGTGGTATATAATAGTCATATAAAGCAAATAACGAAAAACTCCTAAGAAACCTGTACTTAAAAACTGCACTAAGGACAACAGTATTTATCTTTGGATATTTACCATTTCCTTTTGTGTAAAGCTTTTTTTCTGTAATGTACGTATGTAAAACGGCACTTAATTTTGTGAAATAATTAAAAGAAACTGATATTCCATTTGTTCTCTATTTTTTAATAACTAACTTTAAACCCAAATATCATTTCAAAGTAAATTTCAAATTGAGAAAAACATCCTACAGGGAGAATAAGGTGATAACAATTGTCTTCTTTTTAAAGTAACTTTTTAAATAGGGTAAATTGACTCAATGACAATTTCTGCATAATCTACTGGCTAGTTTTCGTGCCAATCAATTCCTTCAAACTAGCCAAAAATGCTAACAAATGCTTTTGTCTAGGGATTTTATTCAGTGTCGTGAAAATCAACACCCACTCCCTCTCTCAATCTTTCCCCTCTCAAAAGACACACAAATATATGAAAAGCCCCATGGACCATGGGTTTCAATCAATGCATTTCATAGCTTTAGACCTAACAATGCTTTCTTTACTTTGTTGAATGCTTTCTTGTACAGAATCTACTTTAAGCTCTGAGTATAAACTGCTTGTAACTCTAAAATTAATCAAATAGAAAGGAAAAAAAAGATTTCTAATCCTTATAATTTTATTTCTTTTAGCACACTGGAGAAAACAATTATTAGTATTACATAGATGATAAAGAAAATAAAGATGATCCTATCTTCATTTCTACATAGGCTCACAGTCTGGCCTGACCTCCATTACCTTCTTCAGCTGCTTCTAGTCCATATTAACTCTTCACTTAATTTTCTTGGTAGCCTATTTGCTTCCTTTAATGATCCCTATCCTATTTATTTCTGAAAAAAATAGCACATCTCCCTTACTCATCACTACCTTACCCAAATCTGAACCCTACCAGAGACATCAGTAAGAAATTCACTACACCACTGAGAAATACTGAAACAAGCCAATGAAGAGGCTGCACTCCTATTCCTAGAGATCACTAAACATGGGTAAAATAACATTTTATTAGATGATTTAGGGATCCCCTTTTTGTGGGCAATGGTCTGGAATGGTCTGAAATAACTCATTTCTGACTCTAAAAGGGATTCTATTATGATATACATCCAAGTTGTGAAATCTAGGAGGAACAGTGGCTTTTTCTAACAAATTTGATTTAACTACAGAAAGGGAGAAAGCAGAAGGGGAATACGCATAAGACAAAGAGGAGATTAACTAGAATAGACTAGAATCAAAATAACAAAATACCTCATTGCTAACGAACAGGTAACAGATATTAGTAATTTAAAATGAGTCTTACTCATTCTGAGTAGTTTTCTACTTCCTGCTCTGCTAGAATAAGCTTTCCCTTCAAAATCATAAGTAACTAATTGCAACATATGCTGTAAGAAGGCTCAAAAGAAAAATAGGACTCAGATTTTAGAAAATCACTAAAGATGATAATAGGATATATTCGTACCTTTCAGCATAATTTTAAACTTGCAGCATAGTTTTTAATGTTGACTTTAAGAAAACAGATAAGAACAAGAAACATCAAGGTCATGAATAAAATGACTAAATGAAAGTAACTACAGAGGGTGACAAAAAAATGTATACACATTTTAGGAAAGGAAAAAACTATATTAAAATTGTAATACAATGAATGACGTTAGCATTCATTTGATTAATGCCATTTTTTGAGCGAATGTCATAATACACATTGCTACTGTAAAGTAATACAGTACATAGATAACATTTCTTAAAATGTGTACATTTTTTAGGCACCCCCGGTATTTAGCAAGAACTTACTCAAATAAATGGCAGTTTCCAGTTAAAGATGGCATGTTGAATATACCTATTAACTTTGACCTCTGCCCCAAACCTGACTAAAATGAAAACAAAAGGTAGTAAGGACTATAAACTCAGACGGATAAAAGAGAATGGAACAGGGGGCAATAGCAATAGAACATGGAAACTAGAAAGTTAATAGTTAAGTGGAAAATGACTGGGAAAGCAATTTTCCCAAGCCAGCAGTGTGGAAAGCTGAGAAGTCACTTGATTTATACTGCAGAATACCGAAGTGGCCCAGAAATGGACAGTGCCAGGCATTCTGGAAGTGGAGAAGGAGCGGGCTAAAACACAGTTGAAAGTCTTCGGCCCTGTCTCTTCCCAGTCAGGTAAAGCTCCTTTCCCACAGAAAAAGAAAACTGAGGCTTTTTTTCCTCTCAGGGGAGAATAGGACCAAGGGGATCTGGGCACCAGGCACAAGTGAGTGCAGGACCATTATGCTGAAAACTGGAAAAGTTCACGTTTACATACATACCAATTACTGAGCTAAATCTACCCTTCTCACCACTCAGCTCTCAGAATGCTGGCCACCCTGCCTTATTTGTTTAAGCAGTAGATTAGAAAAGTCATTTTGGGGAATCCAGCTAGCCCAAGAGAAAAGACCTAAAGATGATGACATTTAGAAAACAGTCCAGCAAGTTCACCCTACAGTAAGGTTTAAAGTTAATAAGATCCACATAAATGCAGTTTCCAATCAGCTTTTTCATTTCCCACTCTTACATGTAAACCCCTATTGACTATTAACAGATATAGAAAGAAAGCCTCTTATTAACAGTGGTTCTCAACCTGTGGGTCGTGACCCCTTTGGGGGTTGAAGGACCCTTTCACAGTGGTCGCCTAAGACCATCGGAAAACAAAAAGATATTTACATTACAATTCATAACAGTAGCAACATTACAGTTATAAAGTAGCAACGAAAATAATTTTATGGTTGGGGGTCACCACAACATGAGGAACTGTATTAAGGGGTCGCGGAATTAGGAAGGTTGAGAACCGCTGCGTCTATTATAAAGGACAGTCACCAAAATAAACTGAAAAAGCTTACCATGAGGACACAGAGGCTATTCAAGGAAAAAGAAAACAACAAAGATACAAAATACAATAAGAAAAGATAATACATTCATGCCACAGGATACTATTAAATTTTCAGAGAACAAAAAGAGCTCTTAGAATTAAAAAGACAGGAAAAACAACACCTTTAATAGAAGAGTTTGAAGATAAAGTTGAAGCTATCTCTCAGAAAGCAGAGCAAAAACACACAGAAATAAAATATAGGCGAGTAAAGATAAAAAATTAGAAAACCCTTGTAGTAGATCCAACACCAAATTAAAGCAGTAGTAGAAAGAGAAATGAGATTTTTAAAAAATGAGGAAAAAAAAATCATCGATGAAAGAAGTCAGAAAATTTCCTAGAACTGGGGGACAGCTTCCAGAATGAAAGCATCCACCAAGTACCCAGTTTCATGAATGAAAACACTCTTACAAAGAATAATGTAATTTCAGAATATTGATTTTAAAAGCTTTAACAGTTAAGAAGAAGCAAGTTACATAAAATGATAAAGAATTAGAATAACATAGCATCACAGTTCTTAAAAATAATATTAGAAACCCAAGGACAATGGGATAATGCTTTCCCTCAACATTTTGAGGGAAAATTATTTCCTACTTAGAATTCTATTTTTAGCCAAATTATCTTTCAAGGTCTAAAAAAAAATCTCCCTCCTACAGTCATTTATGAATCTATTCAAGGAAGCTCCATTGGAAAAACAAAAGGCAGTAATCCAAGACAGGGCATTCTAGAAAATGGGAACCCAGCAATAAAGACAAAAGGTAATCTCTACAATGAGGGGTGGAGAGAATGTGGAAGTCAACAGCTGTGTACAGGGCCTAGTGATCTGCTCAGCTAGATTACAGCATGGCAGCAGGCTCTGGGGAGAGTTCGTTCTTTAAGCAGATGAAACAGATTAAATATCTAACATGCAAAAACTGTTGAGTGATATGCTAAGAAAAAATTGGGATATAAATTCATGAAAAAAGAAAACAAAGCACTTAAAAAAAGAGTACAATTAATTTGGCAAAAGAATGTTAACAGGAACAGAAAAGTAATCTTGTTACATGGCTCTATCAGACAGCATTTATATATTCGTGGCAGTATAAACTCTGAATACGCATCTTACCAAAATTAGAAGTAACTATGTTTGAAGAATGAAGAGACAGGAAGTATATATTTGATGTGTTAAGCTGAAGGTAGGGAGTGTTTGCAAGGGAGCGAAAGACTCATCTCCCAGAGTTATAAGTCAATGGATAATACCCATAAATGGAAACTAAAATAGAAAAATCAAGTAGCAGCAATATAAGAATACACTTAAGTGCGCACGCGCACACACACACACACACACACACACACACACACACACACACATTCTTCTGGACTTTCTTTTGTGCACATATATTAAAATGTTAAAGTATGCAAGTACTTCAGTTGTTTTGAAGTTCCTTTCTTCGATCTAGAAACTATTGAGACACCCTAAAAAATACTGTCTTCCTTCCATTCCTCACAGGAGCTTTCCAGTTTGTTAAGATTAGAGTGCGCGGAGTGTGAAGGAAAATGTAGTTATTTCACATTTTATGTATTTTAAGAAAAAAATTGATTGAAAAGGAGAAAAAAGAAAATCAAAATGTCTTCCATAATTTCTAAAGTTCTGGTCTCCTACAGAGATGAAAATACTCTCTTTTCTATCAGGCCTGCGATATGAAAACCACATGCATCCTGATCTTGTTTTGGCTTCTCTACATGCTATTATTATCAGAAGAAAGCCAGACTTCTAAAACAGTAAGTTTTTGCAAAAATCAAGATAGTGAAAATATTTTCAAATGTACACTTTTTTTTACATTTAGTTAAATATTCCAATGCAGTAAAGGGAAGCAGAAACAAACCCAAACAAAAACCCAAGCTATCAAAACTCACTCTTTAGGTAGCTATATACATTCAAAGTCTGTGACCTCTATGCGAGATTCTAATTTGACAAAAGCAGTCTTCATTTTTTTTAAACTAAGTTCTCCAAAAGTTGATAAAAGAAGAAATCTGTAAATTCTTACTATAAAATCTGAGATTAGTTTCAAGACATAAAAATCACACTTTAAAATGTAGGAGACCTGGGCCGGCCGAGTGGCGCGGTGGTTAAGAGCTGGCTTGGGACGCCAGAGGGCCCCGGTTCCGATCCCACATATGAGGGCCTGTGACACTGCCCTCCACAGCTAAGATGCTGAACAACAGCTCAACCTAGAGCTGGGCTGCCATGAGTCGCCAGCAACGGCGTAAGCTGCAGCCACTGCTGCAGTGAGTTGCCATGGGCTACCGGTGAGTAGCCGGCAGCCAGCGTGAGCGGCCAGCAGTCACTGTGAATGGCCGTCGAAGCCGGCGTCTGATCTGCCTCGCCCGGGAAGAGCGCAATGATGGTGCCAACTTGGGCCAGTGAAGCAACGTCCTCCACAACTAGACTGAAGAAAAGGACAGCAACTTGTCTGTTCTCCTTCCCCAATTCCCCAGCACTGTTCCCATCCCCCAATTCCCCAATAAAAATCTTTTAAAAAAATAAAATAAAAAATAATAAATAAAATGTAGGAGACCTTTTTAAAACCACACGTTTATGAGAAAAATTAATTGTAGTTACATTATTATTGCGACAACATTTCAATGGCAAAAACAGTCAAAACAAGAATGATTTCTTTGGATCTATAGCCACATAAGGAAAGTACTTCTTCATGTTGCCTGGCTCTTTAAATTCAATACATGGTTCAATTTCTGCTATATTTTCTTTTAAAACACCAAACTTTGAGCTGTTCAGCCAATAGAGTTATATATTATAGCTTAATTAAGAAATGATAAGTGTAGAGTTGGTAGCTCTGGCTAATTTTTAAAAATTACATATTTTAAACTATGTAAGAGGGGCTGACTGAGTGGCTCAGTTGGTTAAGAGCTTGCTCAAGAGTGTGAGCTCTGAGCAACAGGGTTGCCGGTTCAATTCCCGGCCTGAGCTGAGCTGCCGCTGAGCTGCCAACAGGTGGCAGGATGGCTCAGCTAAAAAAAAAAAAAAAAAAACTATGTAAGGTGTCAGACTGGCACTAGCCTTAATTGGGATGAACACTTCGTAAGTTATAGCAATATCTAATCACTATGTTGTAGAGCTGAAACTAATATGATATTGTATGTCAACCTTAATAGAAAAATTAAAAAATAAAGACTACTGGATTTTAAAAATTACATATTTTAAAATGTTTTCCTCATTATAAATGTCAGTCTTGCACAATGAAATATTAAATAAGTTAACTGAATTATTATTCAATATGTATTTCCAAATAAATGAGAATATACCAATAGTCTTTAATGATTATGTAATAACAGTTGGAAAATACCTGTAATGACAAGCTACAATCTCCTTGCTCAATTATAAGTATCAGAATTTCCTGAATCTTCAGTATTCCATCCCAATAAAGAAAAGCATTTGCTTTTCCTTTTTCACACTATAGCACCAAAAGATTAGATAGTAGATTTTTTTCTAAATTATTTCCTTCCAATGTCTAATTGCCTGGATATAAAAATATTTTAATTCTGTTAACACTTTTTCTGATTAATGCATTTCTAATTTTTTTTTCTTTTTTAGGAAGTCAAATGTAATTTCACTGAAAAGAATTATTCTTCGATTCCAGCAGATATCAATCAAGATGTTACTATACTTGATCTCAGTTATAACCAAATTACTCTGAGTATTAGAGACACAAGTGATCTACAGAGGTATTTGTTACTCACTGAGCTCTATTTGATTGAGAATAATGTCGTTATCTTATATAATAATAGTTTTGGTAACCTCTTCAATCTAAAAATTTTAAATATCTGTAGAAACTCCATCCACATAATTCTACAGGATGCATTTAGCGGCTTAAATAAACTAGAACAGTTATATCTTTGCCAAAACAAAATATTACAACTGAATCCTGATACATTTGTGCCTCTAAAAAACCTGAAACTTCTGAATCTGCAAGGCAATCTAATAAGCTATTTTGATGTTCCACAACTGTTTCATCTGGAATTAATCACTTTATATGGAAATCCATGGAACTGCTCTTGTGGTCTATTGAATTTGCAGAACTGGTTGAACACATCAAATGTGACACTAGGTAAGCAATCATAATTTAAGTTAATCAAAACCAAAATGTGATGGATTTTTGGCTGTTTTACCCCAGAAAAGCCTCTCATTTCATTTTCTAAAGAAAAGGCAACCATTTTTGTTTAAAGGAAATAGGAAGAAACACTGAAAAGTAATTGTTGCATAGATGCTTTTCCTCTTGCCTCTCCAGAAAAAGATGAAAAAAAGAAATTTAAGTGTTCTATATATGTCTGATGATACTGTCACTTCATGTATTAAGTTTGTATTTTCAATACCCGGCTAACTTTTTAAGTACTTCCTTTTCTTAGGTTATCCTGCCAGAGAGTAGGTGAAAACCAGTGCCTACTTTCTTAACTGCAAATCATGCTCTGCCTGAGATCTAGATTTTCACCACTATCTTTATCAAAACATCTTTACTAACAAAGACAAACTAAACAATAAACAGATATTACACTTAAACAATATTCATAAAATAACTTAATAAACAGGAATGTGCATCTGTCCCTCGTGTTGCCAGGCAATACTAGAGTTTCTTATAATATCTAACAATGACATAAATATGTCAAAAATTCTAGATAAAAGTAATTATGAAATGTTAACCATAATAATTTATTCACCATAATTTCATTTTCAATGAAAATCTTAATTTATTCTTTCTGATTTACTAGAAAATGAGAACATCACCATGTGCAACTACCCAGATATCCTGAAGTGCTACAGTATCAAAACAGTACCTTATAAGGCTGAGTGCTACTCAAAACTTTCTTCACCTATAATTGAAGATCTTTATATTAATTTTCAGTCCATTAGCAATTTGACATTTAACAGCTCTTTGAACAACTTCACAAGAAACTCAGGTAATATACTGGTTTTGAATATTAATATTGGTGAAGGTAACATACTAACTAAACTAAGATAGTTCTCATTTTTCTGCATTTTCAGTTTCAGAAACAATGTAAAGGAACAATTCCTCATCTCAACAAAAGATTGACAAAATACTGGGTTTCCAAACTAAGTTCTGCTAGTTACCAGCCAAATGCCACTAGGCAAATTATTGAACTTTTCTTAGTTTGAGTTTTAACTAGTCAAGTCACAGTTCTTAGCAGGTATAAATCCGTAATGTTCCTAGGTGAATGAAAAAACAATACCTGCAAAGACAGGAGTTATTTTGAAAAAAGGGTATTCTTTCACCACACTATGAAATATCTTTATTTATTGTAGTTTTAGTAGGTTTTGCTTAAAGAAATCATAATGTACATTCATTTCTAATACCAATATTTGGGGAGTTATTAGGACATGTAATTTTTTTTTTTTGTCAATTTAACAAAGTATCTCCTCTCTTTCTCTATTCTCGGTATTCTACTTAAGAACATGAACCTCTTGGAAAAAGCTGGGTTTTTCTCGTTGGAGTTGTAGTCACTGTAGTAATAACTTCACTCGTCATCTTTTTTGCTATCAAATGCCCAATATGGTATACTTTTCTGCGTAGTTACAATCACCATCCCCTGGAAGAGCATGAAGCAGAAACTTACGAAGCTGATTTTACCGGATATCCAAGTTCTCTTTCACAGATATCAGATGCGAACTCCGAAGAAACTACAGTAATATTTGAACAACTACATTCATTTGTGGTAGATGATGATGGGTTTATTGAAGACAAATATATAGACAGTCATGAATTACATGAAGAAAACTGACTTCTTTCAAAGTTTGATTCTTTAAAAAATGTTATGGGTTCACTCACAGCATAGACATGGAGGTTTTGATATGCGACATACCAAACTATAGTTAGTAGACCTTCATATTAATTGCAACACAGATAAATCCTATAAAATTATGTTTTTCTCATTGGTATTGAGAAAGTCAGTCCAAATACAGTAACTGACACCTTCTCGGTAGCGAAGTTACAATACTAGTATTACTATTCTCAGCAGTATTCAGGAGGCCATTCTTGTATATACCAGTAAAGAAAAGGCCTAAAGTAAATTATTCATTAATTAAAATGAACTGATTCTCATATCAATTTAGATATTTGATATAACATACACTAAATTATATTAAAGCTTTACTGGTTGGAATCGGTAGAGAAATAAAGGTTTTGGATTTATATCATGAGTCAGAGTAATTGGAAAACATTTTTTTAAATGCTTCCTGTATTAGCACAACAAATATCCTGAAAATGTAGTAGCAATTTGAAACACAGGCATATTCCCTAATAAGTTACTACTGTGTCCTGTTATAAAGGCTATCATCATAAGGCACGATCGTCACAATTGAATAGTATGGTGGTTTCCAAAGTGGGTATCACAGTCATCCATAAAATCTTATTTTAAAAAATACACATTTCTGCCTTTCTTTGGAAGATTTTATTCAAATTAGTCCATGCTGGGGCTGAGAAATCTACAGTTGGTGCATGGACAGCTGTTTGGGGTTCTGTAGATACAGGAATGTTTCCCAAATTGTTTTCTAAAAGATTAATTTCCAGAGAGACATTCCAAAGTATTTACAAGGGCAAAAAAATAAGAATAAAAACGTACGTGGTCAAATTACTACAGAATTACTATAGGAAATGCTGGGTTTAAACTAAGTGAAACAAGGTTCTTTACTATAGGACTCATCCAAGATTTTACTAAGCTAAACTGCTCTCTGCTCTTCAAAAGCAAATATCAAGAACTTTCCAGGGCCGGCCGAGTGGCACATTGGTTAAGAACTGGCTTGGGACGCCAGAGGGCCCCGGTTCGGATCCCACATATAAGGGCCAGTGACACTGCCCTCTACAGCTAAGATGCTGAACAACAGCTCAACTTGGAGCTGGGCTGCCATGAGTTGCCGGCGACGGTGTAGGCTGCAACCCCTGCTGCAGTGGGTTGCCATGGGCTACTCTATGTAGCCAGCAGCCAGCGTGAGTGGCCAGCAGCCGCCGTGAGCAGCCGTCCAGAAGCCAGCGACTGATCTGCCTCACCTGGGAAGAGTGCAATGATGGTGCCAACTTGGGCCAGTGAAGCACTGTCCTCCACAACTAGACTGAAGAACAAAACGACAGCAACTTGTCTGTTCCCCTTCCCTCAGTTCCCCAGCGCTGTTCCCATCCCCCAATTCCCCAATAAAAATCTTAAAAAAAAAAAAAATTTCCAGACTTACTTTACATTAAAACCCTTTTTTTGAGGTATGCCTACTAAGAACTCATAAGCACAATAAGGGTTCAAAGAACATAGTTTGGAAAACCCTTGCCCTGAGACTATCATTAGTAGAGTCTAAAGTGAATTACTTACCAATTCCTTATAATCAATTGGCTGTAATCATAATTCTAGTAGCTTACTGCAAACAGTGGCATTAAAAACTATAACAAAACCTATCATTTTTATCTCCCATATGTGAGAAAGTTAAATGTATTTATCTGTATCTTTTAGAAGAAAATATCTTTAAAACACTGAAATATATTTATGGATGAAACAATATGTCTTAGATTTTCTTTACCATACTTCAGAAAAGAGAACAGTTGCTAGTGGTGTGGATGGAGCAGGGTCAAATATGAGCTGACAGACCTAGGACAAGGGTACAAAGGAGTACATACAGTACACTGTTTCATTTTTGTATATGTTCAAATTTCTCTATAATAAAGTTTTAAAGGTGTGCAATAAAGTTAGAAAAAAACAGTAAAAATAATGTAGATGTATGCTGTATTCTGCAGAATAGTCATCTTAAAGATTATATCAATAGTAAATTCAGTTCAAATATCTACTGAGGAAAATAAAAACTGTTCAAGAGGATACACCCTGTCACATACAAGAATGAACTCACTTATTTATCATGCATATTTGCTTGTGTTTATAGAAACATGTTTTCAATAAAGGATATAAATGCTTTAACTGTAATAGTTCCTAATAGATAATATCAATTATACTTTAATGTTTTCAATCTCAAATATGAGGTAATAGAAATATGAGGCATCATTTTCTAAATAATCTATCATTTAACCAAAATATCATTTCCTAATTTAAGAGGCAATATTAATATTTGAGAAACAGAGTAAAATGAAATATAATTATGATTCAGCAAAGATTATATTAATCTCTTATATTGAAGAGCCTCTTATAATTGGATATAATGGTGTAAAATTATAATTACATATGTTTTTAAAAGATAACTGATTTTGACTAATACCAAACTAGAAAACTATAGACATCAGAACTGGAAGAGAATCATAATTCAAGCAGCCATGTGAAACTGAATTAAAGCCAGGTGTCTTGTCTACTGTAATATATCGAGGCTATATATTATAACTAACTTATTGAGTATAGATGTTTCCTAATAAACCAGATGGTCATACCACACTAAATGGTGGTACTAAAATAGAAGAGAATGAAAACAGAAGTTTTTACACCTGCCTTCTCAAGGTATAGCATTTACTGCTCCCTCTGAATGAAAAGAGTCAAAGTAGATATTTGTGTTCAGATGCTGGCCATCAGATTAACACATGAAATAAACTATCCTCTTGCTGCATATAAAAGTAAATTTCATAAAAACAACCTGTTTTTAATTTAAATTTTTGCTTAAAAAAGTCAGGAGAACCTATTTCACTCAGTCTCAATTATAAACTACAGATGCTAAGTTTTGAAACTGCTGACATTTTCAGGACAAATTACCATATTTTAAGAACATTTTCATTGTGTATACATACATCTACTCACATCTGGGATATAAAACTGAAAGCAACAAAGGAATAAGACAAACAAACAAAGAAACAAAAACTCATAGACACAGATAACAGTTTAGTGGTTTAGAGGGTAAAGGGGGGAGGAGGTCATAGAAGAGGGTAAAGGGGGTCAAATATATGGTGATGGAAAGAGCGCTGACTCTGGGTGGTGAACACACAATGCAATACATAGACGACATATTATAGGATTATACACTTGAAACCTATATAATTTTATTAACCATTGTAACCCCAATAAATTTAATAAATAAATATTGGAAAAAAAAAGAAATTTTTCCTTCACTAAATGAACCAAATAGACACAAAAACCTATGACATTCTTAAACTTATAATCTGGGAATTATCATTTTGGATGTAGTATCTATAAAACATGTATATATAATATTTATAAATCTGACCTGTGTATTATATAACTCTGTAGATAAATGAAATAAATGAGGACCTAAATGTTCTAAATGCTATAAGGTCTTCAACAGGCTATAGCTTATTACTCTTACTCTTTAGGTACCTAGGAGAGCATTTTATCAATATATACAATAAGCAATACATATTTACACTGAATGGTTTAAAACTAGAACAATAACAACAAAAAAAGGCAAGTTTTTAAAATAAGAGCTTGGTCACCATAAACATGGAATTTTCTTTGTAAAAGGGAAGAGACTTTCAGTATTTATGATTTTTAAGATAGCATTTTAAAAGCAGCATAAAATGATGGATGGAGAAAAAAAGAGATTTCTTTGTTTTTAATAAACAGAAGAATTACATTTATCTTTCAAATGTTTTATTGTATTTTAACATCCTATTCTTCATCAAATATTTACTGTTCAAACAGGTAACATGACAGTATATTTCATGTTACAGAATTTTGGTAATTTAGGTTAATTACCACCCTTGCTGTCAAAGAGATTAATGTTAATAAATTTCTGGGAAAAATGTATATATGTGCAAAATATATCATCTTCTATGTATGCATATCCTTAGACAATATTTAATTAAGGTCATGAAGTTAATGAAGAATAATTGTTCTTCACTGCTATTGTCTGAATATTTGCATCCCTCCAAAATTCATATGTTGAAATCCTAATCCCTAAAGGTAATGGTATTAGAGGGTGGGGCCTTTGAGAGGTGATTAAGTCATGAGGATGGGGCCCTCATGAATGGGGTTAGTGGCCTTATACAAGAGACCCCAGGGAGCTCCCCAGACCCTTCCTCCACGGGAGGACACAGCAAGAAGATGCCAGGTATGAAACAAGAAGAGGGCCTTTACCAAAATGGGACCATGATGGTGCCTTGATCTTGGACTTCCAGCTTCCAGAACTGTGAGCAATAAATTCCTGTTGTTTAAGATACCCAGTCTATGATATTTTGTTATAGCAGTCCGAATGTACTAAGACAACCACATCATCATATCTACTTATTATCTTTGTAGGCATTACTATCACGGCCACCATTACCATATTATTAAAGTCAAAGTTACTTGATATTTGGGCTTTAACCAGATTATACATAAGATGCACATATAATGTATACCTATGATATAGATTACAAATATAACTATTAATTATCAATTAATAATTGGATAATGTAAAAAATAATAAAATAGGGCCAGCCGAGTGGCACGTAGGTTAAGAGCTGGCTTGACGCCAAGAGTTGATGCCAGCTCTGAGCAGCAGGGCCCCAGTTCAGATCTCACAGGAGAGCCAGTGATGCTGCACCCTCTGCAGCTGAGATGTTGAACAACAGCTCGTCCTGGAGCTGGGCTGCCATGAGTTGCCGGCAATGGCGTAGGCTGCTGCCCCTGCTGCAGTGGGCTGCCGTGAGCTACCATGTGTGGCTGGCAGTCAGTGTGAGCTGCCGTGAGTCGCCATGAGCGGCTGTCCAATGGCTGGCGAGTGATTGCCTCAGCCGAGAAGAGCGCAATGATAATACCAACATGGGCCAGTGAAGTNGCAATGATAATACCAACATGGGCCAGTGAAGTGACGTCCTCCACAACTAGACTGAAGAACAAAAGGACAGCAACTTGTCTGTTCCCCTTCCCCGATTCCTCAATGCTGTTCCCCTCCCCCAATTCCCCAATAAAATCTTTTAAAATAAATAAATAATAATAATAAAATACTGTAAATAGCCCACTGACTAATAATGCGCCTTTCATTAGACTAGGGTTTAAATCTCATAATTCAAATTAGTTAAAAAGCTTATCCGTTTTGGGCTGGCAGAGTGGCTCAGTTGGTTAAGAGCTCACTCAAGAGTTTGAGCTCTGAGCAAGAGCTGTTCGATGTCCAGCCAGAGCTGAGCTGCCGCTAAGCTGCCAATAGGTAGCAGGATGGCTCAGCTAAAGAAAAAAAATAAAATAAAAATTTTTAAAAAAGCTTATCCATCTTAGATTTTAAATTTTTGTAAGTAAAAATTTTGTTTATCTAATCTATGTAGTAATTTTATATGTACACGATTTGGGTACTTAATGGTAAATAAAGATAATAAATGCATAAACAATAAAATTTGTATTGCAAATGTCCAACTCTTTAAATAAAAAAATGCAACAGGGCAAAACAATGTAAAAATTTCATAAGGAAATAAATGACTCAGAAGTTATTCTACCAAATACAGTTCACTTATAAATCGACTTCATTTCTAAATGGATTGTACTTACGCTTGTCTTTCAGTAAATATTATATCCATACTTTGAGTTTCTCGATCATTTTGAGCTTTAAGCTGAATAGAGAGTTAACACAAAAGTTATTGATAAGAAATTACCATTAAACCAATCTATTGCATTAGAGGTTATTTACTGGTTATGAACTAATTGAGAGATTATTATAATAATCCTAATGCCACATAAAAGTGTAAAAACAATAGTGTTTGTTTCACTTAACAAACCACAGGGCCAGATAAAAAGAAACAGTCTTTTCACAGGCATTATAATCTCACACCAAAAATATTCAGTGTTCTTTAGTGATTTGTCAAATAGTCCAATGTAAACTTAATTTATGTAAACAAAATTCAAGAATTTATTAGGTATTTAATAGTTGGTAATAATATGTTGAATTTATACCCAACACAAGTTTTATTCTTAAATCATTCAGTTTTACCTGAGTAGCCCTGGCTGACTCTATCTGCACATTCAGCTTAAAATTTGGACCTATCCCAAAAACTGACAAAACACATAAATAAGTTTTTGCTTTTTATATCTGGCATTAAAAGCACAGTTTTCAAATTGGGAATTCTCCTATGTTCTAAAAGCTAAGAAAAAATTTAATAAATTATCATGCTTTTAGAACTCCAATTCAGAAAAGTCATTTTATAAATTTTATGCTTTCACAGACTAGTCTATGAGTTTGTAAATAAATTTTAATCTGTACAAGTTATAAGTTATATGTGATTTTCTTTCAATTGTTTATAAATAAAACAAGCTAGATACTAACATTTTATTGTTTTCTATCAAACAATATAAGAATGTTGAACACAAAATCTCATTTACCAATCAAAAGTAACATTATGTCTGGCATCTTATGATAATTATTAACTTTTCTCCCTTTCTTATAAAACTCTGTAAGGGTGCCATAGTATCTCCAATGAGTACTCAGCTCCATTTGTGCAAATATTAAATAGGAAGTTTACAAACTAACTTATATACAAGGCAATGTAGATGGGACTCCCTAAGTAATGTTGAGTACAAGGCCTGTTCAAACATAACCTTTAGAAAGACACTAAAGTATCCACTTGAGAGAGCCAAACAACAGGAAGAAATTTAAAAACGACAACGAAGGGGCCGGCCGAGTGGCACGTTGGTTAAGAGCTGGCTTGGGATGCCAGACGGCCCCGGTTCGGATCCCACATATGAGGGCCAGTGACACTGCCCTTCACAGCTAAGATGCTAAACAACAGCTCAACCTGGAGCTGGGCTGCCATGAGTCTCCGGCGACGGCGTAGGCTACAGCCCCTGCTGCAGTGGGTTGCCATGGGCTACCGTGTGTAGCCAGCAACCAGCGTGAGCGGCCAGCCAGAAGCCCGTCCTCCACAACTAGACTGAAGAACAAAACGACAGCAACTTGTCTGTTCCCCTTACCCCAATTCCACAGCGCTGTTCCCATCCCCCAATTTCCCAATAAAAATATTTTTTAAAAAAAAAGGCAATGAAGGAAACTCAAGTCTAATAGTAGTATTTAGAATTAGAGTAATACCTATCTCCAATGTCCAGTCCATAAAGTTTTATCCAACTATTTCTAGATACAAATGTTTATTTTGGAATATGGTCTATGCACAATAGATCTATTGCTTATAAATTGTCTTACCATGTTGTAATCATTCATTACTTCTTCCATTTCAGTATTGGTATTAAGTTTATCTACCAACTAAAAACAAAAATACAAAAAAAACACACCACATGCTATTAGTCTTTATACATTTTCTCTATAATTCATAATATAGGTATTCAATCTTACAAATAATAAATAGTCATTTAAGTATTAAGTATTAATACTTCCAAGTATTTTCCCTTCTAGGGTAAAAACAAATATTGAGCTACCTGCGTAAGTATATATTGTATGATTGACCAATCAATAAACCACATTTTTAGGAATGTAAAAAAGTGAGCAGTAATGAACTCCTCTTCCTGTAGGTTGTACGTTGAAGAGAGCTCTTCCTTCTCTGAGGAGATGTCTGAGCTTATAAAGAAGGGTCTAAAATAAAAGTTGGGGGGAGATCTCTCTTTCTTTCTCTCTCTTTTTTCAGGGGAGATGGGTGTTAACAGAGTTACAAATGTATACCAGTGAAAACATAAAATGATTTTTTTGGTTTTTTAAAAACTAAAAAAAAAAGTAACAGCAACAAGGTAAGGAAAAAACCGAACACTAGTAAGCCTACTTCAAAAAAGTAAGGTGATACAGTTTTATACCTAATTCTTACTTAATATGTATTTCCCATTAAATAAATAAACTGTAATTTATTTAATAATTTCCACACTATTTGTCATCTAAGTTGTTTCCAATGTTTTGGAATTAGGAATCTAATACTATTTTAAAACTTTGATAAAAATCCTTGTAAAAAAAAGAAAAGGAGGGTGATGAGACGGTGAGAGTGCGTGCTCTTATCAGCTAGGTTGCAGAATGAGATGGTGGACTACGCCCATCAGCAACTAAGATTGAAAGCAGCGACTAGAATTGGAGCTGAGATTGCGCCCTCCACAATTAAGTTTGAAGGCAACAACTTGACTTGGAGCTGATGGGTCCTGGAAAAACACAACGTTCTCCTTCCCCAGGTCCCCTACACTATTCCCTTCCCCAATTCCTCAAAAAAAATCTTAAAAAAAAAAAAAAAGGCGATGATATCAGTAGCTAACATATTTACCTTATGCTAAACACTATTTTAAGTGTATTATATATATTATTTCACTTAATTTTCATAATTTTCTATGAAATATATATTATTTTCCACATTTTGCAGATAAAGAAATTTAGCAAGTTGTGGAGCCAGAATATGAACAGAAGGGCTACTAAAAGCAAACTGTTTGAATGTAATTGAATCTAAAAGACTAAGCTTTTTAAAATACATTAGTATATATCACATTTTTATTTGTGACATAAATAATAAGTGCTAATAAGAACTAAAATTTATTTCATACTTAATATACATGAAAAATTTGGCTAAGTGCTTTTTCTGTATCAGATTTTAGCTCATTAAATATATAAACAGGATATTTTACACATTATGAATATTTGTATACTAAGTAATTTACCTAATGCATTCTAGTACAACTAAAATCCCTTTTACCTAATAATGTCTTTTCATATTTTATAAAAAACTTCTCTCATATTTAGAACAGAACAACATTTACTAAAAAATTTGCACTCTTAAGCAATATAAAATATTTGTTATGGATTATATAGTCCAACAAATTTAAAAATTACAATATACCATATTCAGCAAAATTTTGTTTATAAGTACAATATAACAATATCTAATAGGTATATCAAAATTTACCTAACCATTATAATGAAATCTTTCTTATTTTTTATAACACTATTTTTAATAGTGAGATAAAGTTTTTCTCTTTCATTAAGTCCAGACACCATTACAGCTTAAATCACCTATAGAGTTGAAAGGAAGGAAATTCTGACACTAGAAATTTTCACAGGGCCAAGATCACCCCAAAGATTGGGGCAGTTATCAACACTGCTAAGAGGACTATTTCTCTGAAAGTTCACATAGAAAGCATCCTTGGTGGAACTATGATTATGTTATATACTCTATTTTGACAGAAGGCAAACATTGTATTTTGAATGAAACATATGGGTAGAGGTAATCTGCATACTAAATAATTAAATTTTTAAAATTTCATGACAACAGTCCATAAAAAGGTAAAATGTTTTAAAGCAGTGACACTGTTAGAATCCAATAAATTTTAGCTACTTATTAAATTATTACTTTAACATTGTTAGGGGGGAAAAAAGTGTGTATTTCTGTATTTTTAAGTATATGTATTTTTTTAAAAAAAAGACTGGAAGAATATGTATCAACCTATTAAGCCGAATTATGTCTGGGGAGGGATAAGAGGAAAGAAACAAAGACAGTTTAATCTCTACACTTTCTACGGTTTTAATCTGTCACAATAAGCATGTATTCGTGTATTATGTGGTATTTAAAATAATATATTTTTAATATGTATTTAAAATTATATATTCTTAAAATATATCAAGCTAGAAAGTAATGAAAATATTCAAAGGAAATTCTCTAAGAAAAAGCAAATACCATGTTGTAGTCTGCTAGTTGTCCTTGAAACTCTTTGATTTCAATAGCTAAGATCTCAGCTCTGTAAGCATAAAATAAATCCATTCATAAATCACAAATAAGCAAATGAATAATATGAACATTATCAATAACTACAAATTCAGTATTAAGCTCTCAAAACACATTACATTAAATATTACTAATAAAAAAGATCTTGTATATTTTAACTGAAAAATTACTCACCTCTTTTCATATGATAAATATACTGAATTCTCTTGATTGTACATTTCTATTTCTTTCTGAAGTTTATTCATTTCGGATGTAAGTTCACTTATTTTACTTCTAAATTAAAAGAAATGAGAAAGTCAGCAATACTTCTAATCAAGAAAAGACTCTTTCTAGTCAACTGAAACAAACTTTTCATAAATGTATAACAATAATAGATAAATGGTTTCATGAAATGTCACTAAAATTAAAAAAACAATTTAAGTGGTTTATTTGATTAAGAATGAGCCATATCCCGGGCCGGCTGAGTGGCACATTGGTTAAGAGCTGGCTTGGGATGCCAGAGGGCCCCGGTTCGGATCCCTCATATGAGGGCCAGTGACACTGCCCTCTACAGCTAAGATGCTGAACAACAGCTCAACCTGGAGCTGGGTTGCCATGAGTCTCCGGCAACGGCGTAGGCTGCAGCCCCTGCTGCAGTGGGTTGCCATGGGCTACCATGTGTAGCCAGCAGCCAGCATGAGCGGCCGTCCAGAAGCCGGCGACTGATCTGCTTCATCTGGGAACAGCGCAATGATGGTACCAACTTGGGCCAGTGAAGCAACGTCCTCCACAACTAGACTGAAGAACAAAAGGACAGCAACTTTTCTGTTTCCCTTCCCCCAATTTCCCAATAAAAATCTTAAAAAAAAAAAAAAGAATGAGCCATATGACAACTGATAAGAAACCGACATAGATTCTTTAATCATTAAAAAAATGACACAGGGACAGCTTGGAAACCTAGTAAAACTGGTACAATCTATAGACAGAAGTAGATGCCCTGCTATCTTCTAGGGCAGGGTACCTCAAGAGTGACACTATTGACATTTTAGGTCATTAAATAATACTTTGGTGGCGGGGGATGGGGGTGGCTGGGCAGGCGGGACAGAGCTATCCTGTACACTATAGGATGTTTAACAGCATTCCTGGTCTGGATGCTATTAGTATATCCTCCTAACCCCAGTTCTGACAACCAAAAGTGGGTCTAAAAATTGTCAAATGTTCCCTGGGGGCACCATCACCACCAGTTGAGAACCACTGCTTTAGAGTCAAACAACTACACAAATAGATAGAACTACTCTTTGATGCAGAATCACAAATCCTGGAGAAGAGAGGCAATGCAATTACGAGAAATAGCTCCATTCTCTTTGCTTCTTTTGATTAAAAAGTGGCCAAATTTCAAGAGATGCTATACAACTGATGGCCTCACTATCTCTCTTACTGGTGTTGATGTTAGTGTTGAGGACAGATTGGAAAAACCTGTACCACTCTTTATTGCCTTCTAGGAATTTGAGAATCAAAAAATTGAAGTAACTGAGAAACAAAAGATTAAGAGGACTAAGAAAGAAAACAGATCTTTTAGGACATAGGAATAAATGAAATGGAAATAAGAGAGAATGAAGATAAGAGATGACAAGTCAAAAAGAAAATTAAGTAAAATGGGAAAATGGAGATTAAACAGTAGGACATATGAGCGGAGAAAAAGGTAGGTAAAGAATATGAAAAAAAGCTCTTAATTTAGAGCTACATAGAGATATATAAGAAAGCTCATGAATTAATAAAAATTAGTCTACATTTTTATCAAATTGACCACACACTTAGGTAAAACTGCACTAATTGTCAAGATGGAGGAGTGGGTCAACTATGTGCTTACCTCCTCTCATGACCACATCAAAATGACAACTAAACTACAGAACCATCATTGAGAGTCTCCTGAGGTATAGCTGAATAGAACTCCTATAACTAAGGATATATAGAAGCCATGTTAAGACTGACAGGAGGGAGGGATAGAGAGACAAAACAGGCTAGACCCACACTCACATGTGCAATTAAATGTTGGGAGGGATATCTTGGTTGCAGAGGTCACCTCTGAGGAGCGAGGGGTCCCAGCCCCACACCAGACTCCCCAACCCAGAGTTCTGGTGCTGGAAAGGAAAGTCCCCATAACTTCAGGCTGTGCAAACTAGTGGAGATTGTGGCTGAGTGAGATGGAGAGCTGCTGGAGTACCAGGCACTACTCTGAAAGGGCCTGTGCACAGACTTACTCGCTGATGGAATCACTTTCTCTGAGATCCAGTGCTGGGGCAGCAGCTTGAGGAGAGGGGGGTGCCAGGGATATACAGGGATGAACTAAATTGTCTGGCTAGAGGGTGAGGGCTGGAGGGGCAGCTTTCTCCCAGACAGAAGTGCTAGCAAAGGCCCCTGTTCCTTTGTTAAGCTCTTGCCACCTGTGACAACATAGAGCAACCTAGAGGATATTGTGCTCAGTGGAGTAAGTCAGACAGAGAAAGACAAATGCCATATGATTTCATCTATATGTGGAATCTATATGTAGAAACCAACAAACAAACAAAACAGAAACAAACTCATAGATAGAGACCATTTTGATGGTTGCCAGATGGAGGAGGCATTGGGAAGATGGATGAAAAAGGGGAAGGGATTAAGAAGTATAAATTGGTAGTTACAAAACAGTCATGAGGATGTAAAGTATAGAATAAGAAATATAGTCAATAATATTTTAATAAATATGTATGGTGTCAGATGGGTATGAGATTATCAGGGTGATCACTTTGTCAGTTATATAAATGTCTAATCACTATGTTGTACACCTGTAACTAATATAATATTGTAAGTCAACTGTAATCGAAAAACAAAAACTCACTTAAAAAATTTGCATGAATTGATATTCATAGATAAGTACATACATATTATTAGATGTAACTGGGGATATTTCAATGGTGTGAATAATATATTTCAGAATAATTAGTGAAAAAAGCATAAAAGGTTATTCTTACTATATTTTTAAAAAGTGATCTTGAAATACATAGCTCACAAACATGCAAATACATAAAATTTAAAATCTAAGTCTAATTGCACTATATATCTATTTTGTAATACAGCCAAATTAAGCAAAAATTATGTTAGAATATAAAATAATTCTTAGAAATCAACAGATACCAAATTATGTTAATAAGAACCACAGTTAAAACTCAATGATTATGCATAGGAAAAAAACATGCTTATTTAACATACCGAAGAAGCCCAAGATAATAAGATTTGTCTAAAATTTGCCTCTGAGGACCTAAAAAAAAATTTTTAAATATTAGTGTTCAGTTTGGAACAGGAAATCCACAGCACAACCAGAATTACACTCCACAATTCTCTGATAGTCTTCATGAATGCCCCAATAAATTTGATAATCAAGAAGAACCATTGAAAGAAAAAAGAGAACTCATATCTTAGCAATGTAAAATAATGGAAGCTTGAATCAAGACAACAAAGATGAGACTAGAAAGGGGCTTGTTAAGACATAGAATCTACAGGTCAGGTTGCCTGAATGGAAACTGGATCTAAGGGAGTCTAGAACAGTGCTATCCAAGAGACCTTTCTGCAACAATGGAAATAATCCATATCAGCACACCATCATGTAAACAAGCTACATGGGATTAGTGAGCACTTGAAATATAGCTAGTGCTACTGGGGAACTGAATTTTTATTTTAACTAATTTAAATTTAAATAGCTACATGTAGCAATTGGCTATCACAATGGACAGTACAGATTTAGACTGAGTTTCTCCATGCAAGCAAAAGATTATGATTTTTCATAATTTGTTTCAGATACTTTTTTAGAACATGATCCTAGATTTCAGTAGGACTAGGAAAGTACTCCTAGGTTAAATGTCACAATACTTGAAAGAGATGAAGAGCTCTGCAAGGTGTGAGTGGTAAGGCTAGGGCATATTGACTGTGAGGTCTATACTGAGAAGAGGGAGAGAATGTTTTATTAGAAAGGGAAATGGGGCACGAGGGTGGGTAAGAACAAAAGTTATAGCAGGTAGTGGTGCATAGTGGTAACTGTCAGAATTCTTTCATGTAAGGCTAAGGCTATCAAGTATATTGGTAAAACTATCTTAAATGATATTGGTTATGTTTTGAAGGAGAAATTAATACATTAATAAATATTTAGTGAATCCTTTATAGAATGTCAGTGTTTCTACCCATAATGCTTTGTAATAAGTAATATTAAACATACAAGCATTTCCACGAATATACCTTTAAAAACCAAACAACTATGTAATTTTGCCTCATTTTTTTACAGTATTGACAATTATTAAGCAAGTATTTCTAAATAATTAATTGATTTATTATCTAGTGAGCTAAGTGTATTACAATTAAAATTTAAATCTCCTGAAAGGCATGATATACTGCCTTTAGTAGTATGATATCTTATAATTAACTTTGTACCAGTAGAATATCTTCATCTCTGATAAGTCCTTTGCCACACATACAGAAGACAAAACACTCATTATAAAACAGTTCACCATGCTTTGATTTATGTACATAACAGACCAATTTTTTTGAATCATAACATATAGTGTATTGTTATGCCTTTGTAAACACATACTGAGAGGCACAATGACAGATGTTAGCCTCATTTCCTTAGGTATTATAATGGAGTATTAATTATCAGAAAAAGTTACCCTTCTTGACTTACTTCTTAAAAATACACAAATATCTTAATAGTATCATTGTGATATGGAAACAATCAAACAGTATTTCAGAATATTTCCATATAGCACTAGAAATAGTTTCCATTCCTGAGCTTTGCTTCAAATTATTTCAAATTTCTTCAAGTTGTAGCAAAGCTCCATGTTCAGAAAAATGAAGATCCAAATAGCTCATATATGTATATATCTCTCTAGTTTACCATGTATTTTCACATTCATTCTCTTATTTACCCCTTCACAACAATTTCGTGAATCAAGGAGTAAGAACTGAATAAAATAGCCTCTTTCATGTATAATTCTGATTTAGTAATATGGTACTATAATATTTCTTACACAAAATATACTCGTCTTCTTAAAATAGATACCTTTAATCCCAGTTTTCATTCCACTCAAGCCTTGTTGTGTTACAGGACGATCCGCAACTTTAATTTGAGAAGACAGCACTCCTCCTGTCCCTATGGCACCACCACGGGAGCCTGGTCTTGCTGTTCCAGGTGGCATCTAAATAACAAGATTTCAGTTTCAGTAAACTAGAAAAACACTGTACTTCTACTATTGTTAAGATTTCACTAACAAATGTCACCCTGATAAACTTAATAATAATTTTAAAAGACTGCAAAGAGAATATTAAAAATTATTTTTAATTCGATATAATTTAGAAAATATTCCTTATATTTTTGAATATTTGAAGTGTGAAATATTATTAAATAAATTCTTTAAAATTTAAAATTCTATGTATAGACATTATTTAATAATACCCCAAAACTGGAAGGAGCTAAATGTCCACACATTTGTCCTCATTTAACCATAAACTGTAGTATATAACAGAACAGTTTACAAAACAGTATTTATAATTTTATTTTTGTAAAACAAGAAGTCTGGGGGGTTATATAAAACATAGTAACAATGTTTATTGCTATACAATTACATTATAATTTATTTTTACTTTTCTCTTTTATATAACTTGGTGTTTTCAGCATTATCACAGTAAGCACATATTACCTATAAAATCAGAAAAAAATAAACAGATTTTCATTTTGAAAAAAGATTAGATATAATTCCATCACAAGACAACCATGTAAGGATTAAAGGGCTTGCATCATTCAGCAAGCATTTATATTATTACTTCACATGATTCTCTTCTTCAGGTCTGCAAAATCCAATATAATATTACACACCCGGAGAAAAGGACAAAAAACTCCTTTCTTGTACAGTCATGGAAAGGTATTAGAGACAACCTGAAACTCTTCCAAGATACCCTTCTTTTGTTTATCTTCCTTTCCCTCTTTTCTTCTCCCCGCCCTTCCAAAGAGTAAAGTAGTAGATTAAATATGTAGTAGAAATTTTAGATAGGCGTTGGATATAACCATTTTCATTCATTTTGTTTGTTTTGAATTCTCTTAGCTGGTAGCCTCTAATCCAATGAGCTAACATAGTTCTTAAGTGATTCTGAGAATTACTTGGTAATTATTTTTCAGTATGTGGGCCAGTTACAGTAACACACTCCAGAGAATATGTTGTACACAGGAAGGCCGTCAGCTACAAATTCACATGAAATGAGTTTAGGGTTATCCTGAGTGAACCTTGTGAGAGAATGCTAAATCTCTCCCTTTGTAAACTTTTGGATTAATTTTCTATTTGGCTTTATGCAAGCATAATTATGACAGCTACTCAAATAACTATTCTACTTTGAAAAAAAATTATCCAGATGAAATAAAGTATAAATTAAAACTGCACACATTAAAAAGAATAGATATATGTGTATTCACAAGGAAATACATTTTTCATATATTACTGAAAATAAAGCACAAACTAAATAAGAATGCATATAATATTATCCTTATTTTGGAAAATGCTAAAACCATATAGCTGTATGTGCATGTGTGCTAGTGTTTGTAAATGGATAGAAAAAAGTCTGGAGGGATACATGTCACAATGTTGACAATGGTTATACCTGGGTCATAGGGAACACTGACACTTTTCCTTTGTATGTTTTACAACGAGCATTACTATCTTAAAAATTGCAAATATTAAATAAGTAAAGCACCTGACAAATAATAAAAGGCCAATAAACGTCAGATTCCTTTTATAAATATTTAATTAACAAGCATAAATTCTTACTAAAATAGTAAAGATACCCTGGCTCAGTACCACATTTTTTATGACTTCAGAAAAATCATTTCAGTATAAGTTGATCATGTTGATAATGTTACCTCAAACTCTAAAAAAATCACAAACATTTAACAAAACCAACTTTAACAAAATTATTCCCTCCAAAAATTGCTGCTCTTCGTATGAATTAAACACAGGACCCGGCATTATCTCTAGTTTGCAATTAGCCTATTGTCTTAGCTTGAGTACCTCACATGCACTTTATTGAGGTAGTCAAAACCGTCTACCATGAGCATGAGAGAAATTACTATGAATATTTTGGTGTATTCATTTCTTTCTTTGTACATATAAATGTACATTTTATGTTAAATTGACACCACACTACTTTTTTCATTTATTATATAGGAATATAATAAATAAAGTGTATCATCAAGATACATTATTTCCTCAAATATTCTTTAAAAATAACTTTTAATGGCTACCTAATAGTCTATTATAGGGATAGACATATAATTTATTTATGATGCTACTGTTGTGAGGTCATTTAGGTTGTTTTCAAATTTCACTGTTATAATTATGACAATGTAATAATTATCTTTACAAGATATTATTCTACTTAGAATTCCATCAGTTTATAAAGTTTATTGACTTTTTTCCTTATATAATTATTCTTCTTTTACTGATTCACTGATTTATGACACTATCTTACATTAAGCTCTTAACGTTTACTACAGTTTGTTTCTCAGCTGCTGTGGCAACCAGAACATTGTTTAACTTATCATTTATAACATATTTTTATATATTAGAGTACTGTATTTCTTCTTGTTTTGCTATTTCATTGTTTCGGGTAAATTTTAGAATGGTTTTATAATAATATTGACTCCATTGCCCCCAGCAGAAATCTCATGGAATTTAGTTGGACATAGGGTTTATAGCATTAACAGAAAGAGCTCTTACAAATCAGTAGTTTGCTTTCTAATTTTAAGATTCTGAACTCAATGCTTGGCATCTATTGCAAATATTTTTTACCAGTTAGTCATTTTTCTTTTAAAATTTTATGGTGTTTTCAATTTTTGTAAATTAAAATATAAAAATACTTTTCTGTATTTGGTATTTGTGTAATTTTACAAAAGCCTAGCCCATCCAAGTTTATATGAAATACTTGTTTGTATTTTCTTTTGGTATATTTATGATTTTGTTTTTTAAATATAAAGTTTCTAAAATACCTAGAATTCTGTGTAAGAGAGGGATTAATTTCTTAAAACAATGGTTTACTTGAATGCACTATTGAATACTCCATGCTTTTCCAACTAATTTGAAATGCCACCTTAATCATTAATTAAATTCTTACATACTCGTATGTCTGATTCTATTTTTGGTCTACTTCATTTCATTTGATTCTGGCACCAATATACTATACCACTTAAATAATTGTAGCCTTAAAATACATTTGAATATCAGCGTAAACAGGCATCTTCCCTCTATAGTGACTTTCAGACATTCTCCCATATTTATACTTCTCAATGTTTTCCAAGAAACAAACACATATAATAGAATGTTTATAGAAGAAAGAACAAAAAATCTCTTATTATAGACAGGATTTTCAACTTCTACCAAGATATATGCACAAGAATTCATTTGTTTCAAACTTACTCCAGTTGCCACTCGAATATTTCCTGATGGGGGCCGTATTCCAGAAGCAGGCCTTCCTGCCAATCCAATTCCACCTCGTGAAACAGGACGAGCTGCTGAAAGTTTGTGATTACTGGCCATTGTTCACTTTAACCACTGTTTGGAAACAAGGAATAGTTCAATTCTCCTTTGATATATTGTATAGCAAGACACTAGTGACCCCACATACCCTTACTTCAAACACTTAATCCATGAATTTAGAAAGGTAGCCGGATACAAAATTAATATTCAGAAATCAGTTGCATTTGTATACACCAATAATTAACTATCAGAAGAAGAAATTAGAAAATCAATCCCTTGGGCCGGCCGAGTGGCGCGTTGGTTAAGAGCTGGCTTGGGACGCCAGAGGGCCCCGGTTCGGATCCCACATATGAGGGCCAGTGACACTGCCCTCTACAGCTAAGATGGTGAAGAACAGCTGTACTTGGAGCTGGGCTGTTGTGAGTCACCGGCTATGGCACAGGCTGCAGCCCCTGCTGCAGTGGGTTGCCATGGGCTACCGTGTGTAGCCAGCAACCAGCGTGAGCAGCCAGCAGCCGCTGTGAGCAGCCATCCAGAAGCCGGCGACTGATCTGCCTCACCCAGGAAGAGCGCAATGATGGTGCCAACTTGGGCCAGTGAAGCAACATCCTCCACAACTAGACTGAAGAACAAAAGGACAGCAACTTGTCTGTTCCCTTTCCCCCAATTCCCCAGCACTGTTCCTATCCCCCAATTCCCCAATAAAAATCTTAAACAAAAAAAAAAGAAAATCAATCCCTTTTACAATTGCTTCAAAAACAATAAAATATCTAGGAATAAATTTAACCAAAGAAGTAAAAGACCTGTACTCAGAAAATTATAAAGCACTGAAGAGAGAAATCAAAGAAGATACAAATAAATGGAGATACATACCATGTTCATGGGTAGGAAGAATTAATATAGTTAAAATGTTAATACTACCTAAGGCAATATATAGATTCAATGCAATTCCTATGAAAATACCAAGGACATTTTTCTCAGAAATAGAATATATAATCCTAAAATTTATGTGAAGCCATAAAAGACCCCGAATAGCCACTGCAATTTTGAGAAATAAGAACAAAGTGGGAGGTATCACGCTACCCGACATCAAATCATACTACAAGGCTACAGTAATCAAAACAGTATTATACTGGCATAAAAACAGACACATAGATCAATGGAACAGAATACAGGGCCCAGAAATAAACCCGTCCATATATGGTCATTTAATCTATGACAGTGGAAGCAAGAATTTATATTGGAGTAAAAATAGTCTATTTAATAAATGGTGCTGGGAAAACTGGACTGACATGTGCAAAAAATGAAAATGGACCACCTACTTACACCATATACAGGAACAAATTCAAAATGGATTAAAGACTTAAATGTAAGACCTGAAACCATAAAACTCCTAGAAGAAAACATAGGGAGTAAATTTGCAGACATTACCCTCAGTAATATTTTTACTGATATATTCCCTTGAGCAAGGGAAATAAAAGAAAAAATAAACATATGCGATTACATCAAACTTAAAGGTTTTTCACAGCAAAGGAAATCATCAATAAAACAAAAAGGCAGCCTATTGAATGGGAGAAGATATTTGCCAACGATATATCTGATAAGGGGTTAATATCCAAAATTTATAAAACACTCATTCAACTCAACACCAAAAAAACAAACAACCCAATTAAAAAATGGGCAGAGGATATGAAGAGACATTTCTCTAAAGAGAACATACAGATAGCCAACAGGCATATGAAAAAATGTTCAACCTCACTAATCACTAGAGAAATGCAAATAAAAACCACAATGAGATACCATTTCACTCCGGTGAGAATGGCTATCAACAATAAATCAACAAACAAAGTGCTGGCAAGGTTGTGGAGAAAAGGGAACCCTGCTGCACTGTTGGTGGGACTGCAGATTGGTGCAGCCACTATGGAAATCAGTACGGAGGTATCTCAAAAAACTGGAAACGGAACTACTGTATGACCCAGCATTTTCACTCTTGGGTATCTATCCAGAGAAACCCAAGACGCTAATTTGAAAAAATATATGCTCCCCTATGTTTATCGCAGCGCTATTTACAATAGCCAAGACTTGGAAACAACTGAAATGCCCATCGGTAAATAACTGGATTAAGAAACTGTGGTACATTTATACAGTGGAGTATTACTCTGCTATAAAGAAGAATGAAATCGTACCATTTGGGACGATATGGATGGACCTAGAGACTATTATGTTAAGTGAAATAAGTCAGTTGGAGAAAGACAAATACCATATGATTTCATTTATATGTGGAATCTAAAAAACTGAATGAACGAGCAAAGTAAACAGAAGTGGTCTCAGAGATATAGAGGAAAAACTGATGGTTGCAAATTGGGAGGGGGTGGGGATGAGGGAGAAAGTGAAGGGATTAGACAGCATAAATAGGTAACTACAATATTGCTACAGGGATATGAAAGACAGTTCGGGGAATATAATTAATAATGTTGTAAATATTTTGTAGGGTGTCAGATGGTCACATGTCTTGTTAGGGAGACCACTTCATGGATGGGGTAGAGGCTTGATCACTGCACTGTACACCTGAAGCTGATGTTGTAGAATATTGTATGTCAAGTATAATTAAATATATACATATAGTCACGGGATGTGGAGTATAGTGTGGGAGTGGAATCAAGGGAATTGTAATAGGTATGTATGATATGGGTGGGGGAGTGGGGCGGCACATTGGGGGAGGGGGGTTGTCACTTTGAGGGGTAAAAAGTATAACTATTGTACTGTTTTGTATAGCTGAAACTAATTTTAAAATAAAATAAAAAAACATTTAATCCATGATGACTTTCCCTGCAAATTACCAGGTACCAACACAAGACGAACCCTGCTTTAATTTTGTTGAAATTTGACATTAATGTTCCATTTAGAACCATGGAATCATTTATTACAACACGCTTTCCTCATTTCCTTATCAAAATGCAAGCCCCTCTAGTTATCTATCTCTCCTGTGCTCTCATTCCATAGTCTAGTAAGTTTTCTCTCTCCTGACATATCGAGCATCCTTCTTCTCTCCCAATCTTTTCTCTGTGTTTTCCGGTCCATGATTAACTCCCTTATATTCCCAATCCTGTTATCAAATATTTCCTTTTACTCTTTGCTGTAAGAGAATACTGGCTTCCCCCAAAAAACACTTTTGGGCGCAAAGGCTGTTTCAGCTTCCTGTCCCACAATACCAAAGCAAAACAGAGTGCATGACGCTCTCCTTGCCCCTCACTGTCCCTTTAAAAACATTATTCTTCCAAGTCTTTAAAAAAAAACAAAAAACAGGATTCTCTTCCTTTGCAGCCCAGGGAATGCAACCATATCACCTTGCAACTCTCCTGGTTGCTTTTATCTAGGGACCTCTTCTGTACCTAATTCACAGTCTATTCCAGTCCCACTGACATCCTGATGACTTCTATATGGACATTGGACTCAATGTCTAAATTCTAGCTTCACAATTTCCTGACCTAAATTTTAGTAACCATCTCAACTCCATTTCCGTCATTAATAGCCATAGCCAGACCTAGGGCTTGTCATCATCTAGAATTACTTCACCTCAAATATCATTAAATGAATTATTTTATTCTTTCCTCTTAATCTCTCTTTCCACCCTTTTCTCATCTTTAGTTTTACTACACCTCCCTTTAAACCACTTCAGTCTGTTATCATGTTCAGTTCTTTCCTAACTTTAAAAATTAATTTCTTAACCATGAAACCGCTTTTAACTCTGTCCCATATATCTTTTTCCTATGCAGCCAAACTTTAACAATAGCTTATATCCACTGTCCTCTACTTTTTCAATTTGCACTCTCATTGATTCCTACTGTTCCATTCAAACGGTCCCCGCCAACGCATCTAGGAATGTAAATGCCATCTGTTACTGGTGTCTACTTCTTGAAATCATTTCCATGACACCCTTCTTCTGGTTCTCCTTTTTCAGTCCTTGTCTTTTTCAGATCTTCCTCTAGATAGCAACTCCTAGTCACACAAGTCAGAAACTTAGTCCTTGATTTCTCCCTCTACTTGACTTCCCATAGTTAATCACATAGTCCTACTGATTTTATTCCAAAATGTTTAACATGTACCTTCCTCTCCATTACTACAGTATTATCCAGGGCCTCATGGACTCAAGTGGATTATTATACTGACCTCCCTAACTGGTCCCCTTGCCTAACACACATCTTGCCTGTTATCTTCCCTAGGAATTCTAACATAACTAGTCCATAACCACCTCTTTTTCAATTTGAGTTTATAGGCCTGTCCTGTATGCTACGATGCATCCTGGGCACATCTCTACTCCAGTACCTATCACACCAATCAAAATGATCTGCTCAAGTATTTCTCTCCCTTGAGGGCAAGTATTGGATCTTATTCAGTTTTATATCCCCAGCATCGATCTTAGTGCTAGGCAAAAACTTTGTTCTTTTTTGTACCTTCTGAATTTCCTCCCACATGAAAGCATTACCAATTACAGAAATTTACTCAATTATTAAAAGTGAAAAAAAATGTCTTGAACTAGAATTGTTTCTCAGTTTCTGTATTCCATGTCCAATCCTTGGATTGCTTTTCTTCTATCTTTCTTTTTTTTTTTATAACTCCAACTATGCTGATGACTCATAAATCAATGACTCCAGGTCTGTCCTTTAAACTGGGCATCAATTCTAAATTTTCAACTGTTTATTGGAAATTTCTATTCAGATTTCCCATTTTCACTTCATACTGAATATGTTCACACTAAACTTAAAATCTTTCCATTCCAACTAGTTCTGTGATTCTATGTACTTACCATTGTGAACTCAGTGGACAAAGCAATAGGATTATTACTATCATCATTTCACATGGAAGAGTTTCATGAAATGCCTTTTTGAGGACAGATAAGGACTATGATCTAAATAGTTTCTCCCAAAGAAAGCTAATACAATAAACCTTTGTTTCCAGAAGAATTAGTCAATGTTATTCTAGCTTTCCTGATAACTTTTAAGAAAATGTACAATATATCAAATTTCCACCTGATTTTCTTTGCCACTGCTTTGCTATAGTGAAAAAAGCTTAGCATTAGAGTAGTCCTAGGGGGGTTAAGTAAAAAGGTGACAAAGTAATAACAAATATACCTCTACCTCAGAGGTTATTCACTAAATATTCACACAATCCCCGGGGTTATTTACACATACTCAGAGAGGCAGCCTGGCCTTTGGCTCCAGGAAGATTAGGGATAAACTAGCTCTGACAGTTACTAGTTACATAATCCCCTCTGGATGTGTTTCCTCTTCTGTAAAACAGAAGTGTGGCAATGACCTCTACCTCGCAGAGCTGTTGTTAAGATTATAGATAGTATATATTAAATGCCTGCCTCCTATTATTACTATCATTTACCTGCCCCAAACCAGCGATTTTAACATATAGAAAGAAGTAGAAAGTTGCTAAGTCCCTCCTGCTATGACCAACAGACAGAAATCTGTAATTATTTTGAGTAAAATCCCTCAGCCAATAGTGAATTTTGAGGCTCTTGGATTCCTTCCCTTTAGTCTCGCCTTGGCAAGTCTCCCCAGGGAACTGTTTGGGATCTCAGCGCACGTTTTGCGGACTAGAGTTGCGACTTGGGAGTTGGGGCTTCCCTGGCCAGGCGATGGGCCTGAGGAGACCAGCTAAGAGCGGAAGAATTCGAATCTGTTTGGTTTGGAGCGCCATCAGCATCTCCAAGATAAGGTAACGGGCTCCGGGGAGGGGGGGGAGTGAGGAGGATGGGACCCGGGATTTCTCACCTCCGCCGGCGCGGAAGGAGGGAGGTCACACCGCTCAGGATCGCCACTACAGCTGAGCTCCCCAGTCAGCCCCGCTCTCGGATTCGCTCACTCCCGGGTCCCCGCTCGCTCACACGCACCTTTCCTGGGCCCTCAGGCCTAACCACTAGAGGCCGCGCGCGCCGCGTATCCCGGCAACGGTGGCCAGGCGAGAGGCCCCGCCCCTTCATTGGCCAATCCTCGGCTTCAACTCCTAGTCCCCACCAGCGAAGCGAGAGTAAAATGCTCTCGCGAGATTTGAGGACGTGCTTTCTTAGTACCACGTAGGTTTTCTGGAGAACGGCGAGTTGGCTTGAAAAGGATGTTTTGTTTGAAAACCTTGATTTTCTTTATAATCAGAGCAAACGCTCTGATTGCATGCGTCACCTGAACTCACGTCTACCGGGTTATGTTATGTCGCTATGTAATCTCACTGCTGCTACCGTGTAATACGTTGAGTTTTTAGTAAGAATTGTTTGAAGTTATTCCGTGGCAGGGAGCGTTGTACAGCCTTTTTACTTAAAATCAGTGGTAGTTTTCCTTCCCGTTAAGACAGCACAGCGTACATAATACAACATTAAGTATAATGCGATTCTGGTGCCAACTGTTTCTCTTTTCATAGAAAGCTTCATATGTTTACGCTTCCTTTCAGAGTTCTTTTGATTCAAATTTGTGAGAAAGGCTGAATTAAATTGAAAGTGGTCTTAAAAGGATTATTTTAAAATCAGTCTTTAAAAAACACAATATAGGAACTATTTCATCTGAAACTCCACATCTGATAAAGTAACTTGCAGTTTATTTTCTCCCAGCCTTCCTATATATGGACAGAACTTAAATTTGTTACTGCAGCTATAATCATAACATAAATACACATTGGACTTTTACAATTTTTCACGTTATTTCCAAATTGCATATATTATTTATATCCAGACTCATTCTCTTATTTGCCTGCTTTCAAGTAATTTAAAATCAATGCAATACAAAATGGAATGTTATGTGGCTGATTTCTCAGTTTGTAAGACATTTTCATGTAATTGTTCCATTTGAGCCCAACCTATTTGTAATGGTCATTGTTATCCTTTCCTCACTGTAGTGAGGGGTAGAATTTGCCACCCCAAAATATGACACTAGTATAAAGATTATTTTGACCTGAAGAGAAACTGAAAACACACAAAAAACATATAAGAAAAGCTCTTTACCATTCCTATATTTGCCTAAAAGAGAACATAAATTTTCTTTTTCTTTTTTTTTTTAAGATTTTATTTGGGAATTGGGGGAGGGAAACAGACAAGTTGCTGTCCTTTTGTTCTTCAGTCTAGTTGTGGAGGATGTCACTTCACTGGCCCATGTTGGTATTGTAATCATTGCACTCTTCCCAGTGAGGCAGTCACTTGCCGGCCATTGGGCTGCCTCTCACAGCGGCTCATGCTGCTGGCCACTCACAGTAGCTTACGGTTGCCCACTGCAGCCCCACTGCAGCCTATGCCGTCCCCGGGGACTCATGGCACCCCAGCTCCAGGTTGAGCTGTTCTTCACCATCTCAGCTGTAGAGGGTGTGCAGTGTCACTGGCCCTCATGTGGGATCCGAACCGGAGCCCTGCTGCTCAGAACTGGCATCCCAAGCCAACTCAACCAACGTGCCACTCTGCAGGCCCCGAAAACATAAATTTTCAAAGGTTTCCTTCTTGCCTCTCTACCAGTAAGAATAAGAGTTAATCACAGGACACAACTTTAGATCCTATCAGCCTGCAGACTTCACTGGAGGAACCTGCATAACAAACTTTACTAACTGCCCTTTTCTCTACCATTAGTTCTCATATATTTGACTTCCCATAATTTGCTACCTCTAAAGCTTTAAGGTCCTTTTCTTTTTGTTCCTTCTGTAAACATTTATTTTTTTCTTTAAGGTGCCCAAACTCTAACTACCTCTGTGTTACCTATCCCTGAGTTTCTCCCTTGTACATATGATATACTTGTTTTTCTCTTGTTAATCTTTTCTTATAGAGCTCCAGCAGAAAAGCTAGAAAGGTAGAAAGAAAAAAGGTAGCTCTTCCCCTATAACCTGTAATGATTCTCCTATTCATATATATACTGTCTCCAAGAGAAGCTACTGATATTATGCAGATTTCCCTCTCAGTGCTTTCAGGAAAGGGAGTCAGCATTTGTCATTTGTATACAGATATGACAGTTGAACTATTTATTTTAAATCTTTGAATTATGAACACATAACATTTTACATCTTTATATAAGTACCAAGAACCCAATTTAGGGTTCAGAGAATTTAAGGCAAGAGACTGTTTCCAATTTGGCCCCAAGCTCTCTTGTTTTAATTAAAAAAAAACCGTTTTAGTTGAGACTGCAGAAAAAGATTGGCAAAATCGGAGTAAAGCTGCCCTAATAGAACACGCTAAGCAGTCTTCTTACCAACCACAAGGCAGCTCGCAGCCCTGCAGAACGGGATTTAAACTAGCCGGATTCCGCGCGCCAGCGGCTCACGCCCCTCTGCGCGTGGCATTGTGGGATTTGTAGTCTCGCTCCGCATCCCCTATTACAATAAACAGTTTTCGGCCAGGGCTTGATAAGGACTTGGGCTGGGAAAGGAGCCGGATTCGGGCATTTGGGCAGAAGGGCCAGGCATCACTATCTTTTTCTCGGCCGGCGGTCCAGAGCGCAGGAGGGTAGAGGGCCTCAGTTCCACGTCGGCCTCAGCAGTCGGGACGCACACGCTCTGCGTCATGGCGGGCTGAGGCCGATGATGAATTCCGGTGTGCATGTCAGGGTTGCTGTGTCACTCGGCCCGCTTGACGCGCCCCTTCCCTTCCCTGCCGCCCTTCCGCACCGGCTCTTGGCTCTTCCGGTCTCCCGCCGCCCCTCACCTGCAGGCCCCTCTCCCACCGCGGTCCGGCCTCCTCTGCGGACTGATCGCGCGCGGTGCCCGGGCACCGGGCGCCGGACGAGCAAGGGCCATGGCGAGCAGCGCCGCCAGGTATCGGCTGAGCTGCTCGCTCTCAGGCCACGAGCTGGACGTGCGGGGCCTGGTGTGCTGCCTCTATCCTCCGGGGGCCTTTGTGTCCGTGTCCCGAGACCGCACCACCCGCCTCTGGGTCCCGGATAGGTGAGCTCTGCGAGCCTGGCAGCCCCCCGGCTGTGTTGAAAGCTTCCTACCATGTGTGGGAAGAGTGACTCTTCTCTGCTCTATCCTGCCCGCTCTCTCTCTCTTACCGGCCTTCCCTCCGGTCTGCGCTGTTTCCCAATGCTGAGAGCACTGGCACGCTGGGCGCGCAGTATAAGAAATCAGTGCAATTTGGTGGAAAGCACCGGATTGGGGGGGGAAGAGACTGACTTTCTTGTGCTAACTTGACCACTAAGTGAGTGGGTGACCTTGGACAAACTCTTACCTTTTGGGGCGTCAGTTTTTAGAGGATGATTTCCCATGTTTCTTTTAGATTTTAAAATTTATTGATGCCAGGTGCACCCTCCTAAATCAGGCAGCGTGGAAGCATCTACCATGTAATTGAACTAAATCCTTCCCCCTCCTCCCGCCCTCTAGAATTTGCTCTCTAATCTTTTCCTTCAAATTTGACGAGAACCTTAGTTCTCAAAAATTACACTGCGGGAAGTTGCTTTGCCTCCTCTCCTCGTTGTCCAAGTCAGAGTTTCTGTGATGGGTTTGAGTGGAGGGGATGAAACCTCTCAAATGTTTATGGATGTGTGGGAAATGTGCTGTTTCTTGAGGAGAGTAAGTTCATTGCTTTCTAAAGATTGTCAGAATAACCAAAAAAATAATAACAAAAACAAATAAGAAACAGAGGTTAAGCTCCAGTCCAAATCAAGTTCAAGGGTTCAGTCCTGATTTGGCTGCTTGTAACAAGAAATTTATGACCTGGAAGACATTTTAATTTAGAAGGAGAACTGAGGTAAGTTACTTTGTTAGCCTCCCATCAGTGAAACTGAGAGGTTTCACTCAAGTTTGAGATACCATCCATAAATTCAGATGATAATTACTGATTGAGTTCCTCCTATTTGTTTGGGATCCTGAAGAAGAATAAGACGACAGGCAAGTTCTTTCTATTTATAGAGCTTTCTTACAATGTGGGAGGGATGATGGATCAAAAAACAAGCAAATAACTACATATTGGCATGTGTACTATAAAGAAAACAAATGTTGACATAGAATTGAGCGGAGAGATGTTAAAGAAGAAAGCCTCTCTGAAGAGGTGGGGGGTTTTTTTGTTTTTTTTTTAATTTGTTTGATTGATTTTTACGTCAGCCCCTGGGATAGAGCTGGTCATGGGAGCAAGGAATGAGAAAGGTTGAATTGGAAGAGTACTGCAGGCAGTAGGAGGAGCAAACAGAGGAGCCCTGGCTTGAGAAAGAGGAAAATCCCTGTGTGTGTGGGAAGCAATGAGCTGTGAGGTGAGGGCAAGGTTTAGAGGCTAGCAGGAGCCAGACATGCCTTGGTAAGAGGGCTGAGGAAGAGAGTTGACAGGTAGAAGCCTAAGAGTTCAATCAGGGAGCAGCATGATTGATTAACCACTTGAGAAATTGCTGTTCGCTGCTTGTGGAGATTGGGTTGCCAAGGGGTAAATATGGAAGTGGATCTGTTTGGAGGCTTTTGCAGTAGGCAGCCAAGACATGATGGTAGAGTAGACTAGGGATATTGTAGAGCAAACTCCTGTATTGAGTTGAATGAAATGACCTCTAAAGGTCTCCTTTAACTCTTAAGATTTTTGATATTCCAAACCACTTAGTGACAATAATACACAACTTTTTGTTGTATTTGCATACAATTAGGGATTAAGCTTGCACATTTAAAATTGAGTTCGGTAGAAGCATGTGTCCAGTAGGATATAAACATTACAGTAAGGAGAAATGCCTGTTGTCTTTTGTTTTGTTTTGTTTTGGTTTTTTTTAGCTGAGCCATCCTGCCACCTGTTGGCAGCTCAGCGGCTGCTCAGCTCGGGCTGACTCGAACCGCTGTTGCTCAGAGCTCAAACTCTTGAGCGAGCTCTTAACCAACTGAGCCACTCAGCCGGCCCTGGAATGCCTGTTGTCTTAATTGGACCCTGTCATTAAACTTTTACATGTTGTGTATGAGTGTCTAGGTCGACAAGAACTTAAGTCACTGGAGTGGTTGCATTTACCAGAAATTTGAGTAACTGGGCTGAAATGATCCTCTACTTGAAAACTGGTTCTTTTCATTTAACTCATGTTTGTTGGTGTTCTTTTTCAAAATTCATTCATATATTTATTCCCCTAACACTGATTGAGAGCCTGCATTGTGCCAGGCACAGGGCTAGGTGGTGGGCGATTAGTGAGATAAAATAGTTTTACCTCATTTCCAATTGCTCAGTGTAGAGCATCTCATAGTCAACTGGGTGATGAACCTCTTACACATAGAGTGTCTCAGCTATAAAAGGGTCCTCAAGGCTGACATCTGACAGTTTCTATTTCATGGTATATTAATAAAGTTAATAAAGTACTGTAAAATTTTTGGAGCCAAGTCATAAATGAAAATTGTTTTCCATAGGGTTCTGGATCAGGGCAGTTAGTGTGGGGTTTAGACTGGGAATAATGGGGAAATTTAGTTTCAGGAAGGCAAAACAGTTCTATCCTTGGGTGGACTAAACCAGATACCTTGTCTTTCACAAAAGCCCATTGAGAGCCCAGAAAGTGTCTGGGCCTTCTCAAGGCCCTTCAGAAAGGAGACATTTTGGGGGTGGGGCAAGGGAGTTGTACTTCAAACTTAAATAGTCAGCATGCCATTGTTTGAGACTGCTTCAGGCCTCTACAAGCCCACTTCAAATTTAACTGGACTTTCCAAATCTATCATCACATACTGCTTTGCATTTTAAAAACTACCCATATTTGAAAGGTGCAACTTCAGATTTAACATCGTGCATTAAATCTTCCTGAGCGTGCCAAGGCTGAAGTGACTTCTCCCTTATGTAAACACTCAGCACTTTGGGTCCTTAGTCACATAGTTCTATGGGGTTTGTTGAGAAATCAAAGCCATTCTGTTCTCACCCCCTAATTCCCTTTCTAGAAGGCAAAATTTTCATTTCTTTTAACTGCTTATTTTTGGATTTTACTTCCATGTCTATATATAAGGAGCTGTGCAGTCATGTGCTGCTTAATGAGGGGGATGCGTTCTGAGAAATGTGTCTTTAGGTGATTTCTTCGTTGTGCGAACATCATAGAGTGCACTTAAACCTAGGTGGTGTATCTGACTAAACACCTAGGCGATATGGTATAGCCTATTGCTCCTTGGCTATAAGCCTGGACAGCATGTTACTGTACCAAAAACAAGATTAAATCAAGTGTGAAAGACAATATGTAATCAAGAGACACAGTAAACGAGATGTATGAGACTGCTGCCAAAGTAACATGACATACTGTTTTACAGCAATTTTTTTATAAGTAAAAAAAATACACACTTAAATAACGAAAAGTATAGTATAGTAAATACATAAACCAGTAATTGGTCATTTATTATCATTATTGAGTATTATATACTGTACATAATTGTATGTGTGATACTTTTATATAGTTGGCAGCGCAGTAGCTTTGTGTACACCAGCATCACCACAAACGCGTGATGCGTTGTGCTGAGACTTTACCATGGCTGAGCAATAGGAATTTTTCAGCTCTGCTATAATCTTATGGGCCATCATAATATATGTGGTCTGTCCTTGACCAGAATGTTATGTGACACATGACTGTTTTGCTATTTTTTACTTTAGGTTATTTCCATATCTTATTATGGAATATGAGAATTTAGCTTTGTTTCTACCCTTTACCAACCTCCATCTCATATGCATGATCCTTATAATATAGATTAACTTAATTTATACTAAATCATGATGTGTGACTGTTCAGAGCCTGTCTACACCTGAGCTGTGGAATAAGCTATGATCACTTTTCCTTAACAATTTTATGATCATCTTATAGCTACTAATTGCCTTGTTTTTGGTTTTTATTTGCCTAATATTTTATATATTTATCACTAATTCAATTTCATATTCTTTGCTAGTTGTCTAACTCTCCTCTAAGGACCTTTAGACACATTGGATATTTTACAGTTTCATCTTCCTGACAATGAAAACTTTCTGACATGGTATTTCTTGCCTGGCACACAGCTAATCCTAGGATCTCCCTTTCCTGTCATCTCTGCATTCCCTTTGGAACTCTTGTGATGATTTTCTGTCATCGATACCCTTTTACTTTCTCACTTGGATTTCTTCTTTGATGCCTTTATTGGAGCAAATCCTCCAGAAGCTTCCAGAAGTACAGTGCATGGATAATAATGTATTAAGACCTTGCAAGTCTGAAAATTATTTTATTCTGCCTTGCTACTTGAATAATAATTTAAATGTCTGTAGCATTCTAATTTCCAAACAATGTTCCTCAAGAATTTCTAATCCATTGCCCCATTGGATTCTAGCTTCTGGTGTTATAGTTGAGAAGTCCGAAGCCATCCTTCTTGACCAATTATTTTTTTTTCTCTCTGGAAGGGAGTCAGTATTCATCTATTGTTCAGGGCCATTAGTGGACCCTTTTAATACGAAAACTCACATTCAGAAGTTCTGAGACCTTTTTTTTTTTTAGATTTTTATTGGGGAATTGGGGGAAGGGGAACAGACAAGTTGCTATCGTTTTGTTCTTCAGTCTAGTTGTGGAAGAAGTTGCTTCA